CGCAATTATTGAGAAAAATGAATTTTTAATATTGAAAATTTCAGATTTGGAGAACTCATGAAAAACTCAATGGAAAATTCCAAAACTTATACGAGTCATTTACATGTATATAACAAATAAGTGTGCAAACTTTGAGAGTTTTTCATAAAGTCTTTGCTGAGAAAAACGAAAAACATTAAAAACTAGCATATATAAAATGCGTTTTTTACCCAAATTGACTATATTACTTGAAAATTTTCCAAAACTCTTCATGTTAACATATTGGAAATTTTAATACCTTTTCAAAACTATGCAACACTTTATATCTTAGATACTTGTGTAAAGAACTATTTGAGAAATACAAAAATTTTAAACGATTTTTAACTCAATTTAACCTCCAAATGGCTTCAATTATGTTAAGTTCTTATTGATTTATGTTTAGGAAAAAAACTAGGAGCAAAACTAGACAAAGTAGTGAAAAAAATGATAAAAAGAATGCATTTAATGAAATTCTAAAGTCAAATACTTTATTTTTCAATTTTTTTTTTGAAAAAAACTATTTTTTTAAAAAAATGATCATGAAACTTGACAAAACTATGACATATTTATACTCAAAAGACGCGTTTTGAAAAGATCTATCAATTTAACTTAAAAAAATTAAATTTTATTTAAAACTGAAATTTTTATGATTATTTTTCTTTTTTGACCTTGCTCGACATACGACTTTCAGAGTCAAAAAAGTGCTCTTTGCCAAGAGAACACTTGTTCATTTTATTGCATTAATTGATAGTATATCTAGAGAACTTTTTAAATGTGAAATAAAATTCCACTACCATGGGTATCCCTGAAGCACTACAGCGATGTTTGTCAAAAAATTGGTGTTTTTTTTATAAAAAAATTTTTTTTCACTATAAAAACTTTGTTAAAATTATACGACATGTATGCAAAAGTTATAGCTTTTGATGTAGTCTTTAATATAAAAAAGAAATTATTAACTTTGGTTGTGCTTGTGAAGACCTACACAAACGAAAGTATGACGAACACGTGGTTTTTGAGAAAAATCAAGTTTTTCACAAAATTTTCCAAAGTTATTTGCAATTGTTTATATTTTAAAATAAAGTAACAATTTAAAGCTATTAATAAAAAAAATTTGAAGGAGATTCATCCATCCAGTATCTGGTGAGAGCATTTTCAATGTAACGTGAAAATGGTCGTCTGACCAACTTTGAAGTGCCATATCTCGGACATGCTGTCGACTTGGGCAAAGTTTTAAGGACGTAAATGTAGGGCAGAATAAGAACTATCATATAAGCTGTAGAAATAATTTTTGGAAAAATTTTCCATTTCTGGCCCATAGTGCAATGTTTTGACGTCAGTGGATAAAACCGAAGACTTCAAGACTCAAGTCAACTCCACTCAATGGAATAAGCATTGAAGAATAAAGACGATAAATAATGAAAGTGATTTTTGTTTCTTCGAAAAAAAAAACAATTTTATGTTGATAAGGCTTGTAATTTGATGCAATTGCCGGTATAACGTAGAATTAAGTTTTCAGGAAAAGAACAAAGAGCGATAAAATAAATGAAATAGGAATTTTACGCTTTAAAGGTTTTCCATCATCATTATTGCTCGATTTAAACTGAAATGTTCTCATTATTGGAAACACACATGTCGATTTATGTACGTACGTAGGTTTTGCTCATTATAAAATGATAATATATATATTAGATTCTTCATTGAGCCTTGATATATTGCCAAAATCTAGTGTTTATTTTTCTTCTCGCACAGATTAAATAGTTTTCATGATTAGTCACCATCTGTTCAATTCTCGTCTATGAAATATTGACGTAAGCTACTCAAAAAATTGGCAACTTTGTTGCAATATTAAATTAAAGACTCACGTGTTTCTAAGTAGAGCTTTCACACCCTTTCTAAGTTTTCAAATATCAGTTCTAATTTATTTCTGTGTAATTAAATGAGGAGTGTCGATATATACAGCTTTGGAATATTTTTGCAAATGTTCTGATTATTTGTATTTACTTAATTATTTGTGGTTTATCACAAGTGAACACTGTAAGATTAACTTATAAATTTCTTTAGAGATTTTAGTTTATTTAAGCCAATCTTACACAACAACTTGTAATTTAACAATAAAATAACTTAAAACTACAGAAGAAAGAAAAAAAAGATTACATATGTAAGACGGCACCGCATAGCAGTTGATAGAATTTTAAAAATTAGAAGTGACAACATGAAGTTAGATAATTGAGATATATACAAAAAGTATTCTTTGGTTTTGATAATCGAATAAATTTTTATCCGATGAGAAAAAAAAGGAACTTTCTAGATTTAAACTTTTAACGGAATTTGTGATTTTTCAAAAATGTGTTCTAAAGTTTAGTGCAAGATCGAAGCTTAATATTTTTGGAAGAGAGAGAAAGAGGGGTTGGTTCTAGAATCTTGATTAACAACCTTGTCATGTCCAGTGATTTCAAAACTAAATTATGTAGAGCATTGCTGTGTCGCTTAGCATTCCATTAGATTAGACTGCACAACTAAAGTCGACAAAGCTAGTACTGACCAGTTTGCTTAGTATGTTGTTGATAATCTTGAATTCTTAGTACAAATAAGACTTTACTGATTAAGCAAACCAGACTTTCTAAAGCAAGAAGAATCCATGATTCACAAATCAGCTGAAAATAAAATGTCAACATTTGACGCAGTTAGCTAATCAGATTACAAAATTCATATTGACATTCCTTTATTTCTAGAGAGAACTTACATGAAGCACAAAAATTTTGAAGGACATATGTCGCAAAAGTTTCATTTTTTTGTGTATCGGCTTTGAAACTAACCGAGTTTAACTGAAAATTTAAATGTAGAAAAGAAACATAGAACATTGTCAATGATATGAATATGGCCAATGGAATTTTTTGCTGCATATTTTTAAAATAACTCAGAGCTCTAAACCTTTTTTTATGAGTGACATCTTGGCGTAAATTGGTGGTTAATTAATTGGCGCTTGGATTTGGTCAGTGCATTTTTTTGTAGATAATATTTTTATTGTTATTTATTAAGAAGCAGCTCTTCAAAAAAATCATTTTATAATAAATATGTTTTGTGTATTTGGCTTATCTCTCTCGTGCATACATAAATAAATAGACTTCCAATTTGCCTCAGTTTCTCTGCACGTCGACAATTTGTAGAAAAAAATTTTATATTTGTTTGCCACGAGCATCTCATTTAGCTCAAATTATTTCATATTGTTGACATTTTACAAGAATTTCAACGCGTTAAGTTTTATGGCGCTTCACTGCTTCACGCCGCCTTTCATAAATCATTTCACTTGACAGACATTGATTGAAAATGTTTGAATGTGTATACACAATGTAAATGTAAAGGAATTAAAAAGGAAACGACGATTGAATAATTCGGCTAATTGAATTAAATAGCGGCGAACGGTAGACTCTAGACACTTCCAGACAAGCTTCAACCTTGACAACTGAACCGGTTACGTGTTGTTCATATTATCCACGAGCATGCACACAAATACACACGCAATTATATTATTTTCTCTATCATCGTACTCAAATTCATATCGTCGCTGAGAAAACTATAAGCATTTTCTTCTCTTCAACACAACTGCAAAGCCGTTGAGAAATGTATCGTCAGGTGTTTTTGAAAGAGAGATAGCACGAGAATTTTATTTAAATTGGTAAAAAAAAGCTTTATTTTGAGCGTTAGATAATTGAGACGCATTTTATATATTTTATGATTTCAATTGAACTTTTATTATGCTTATAAATTCTTTTAAAGATCTTTATGTTTACTAAGAAAAGTCTGATTTGTAATAACAATGAGATACTTAGGACTCAACAAGTTCGATATTTTTAGCGCATTTTTGAAACTTGTTTCGAAAAGGTAGCTTAATATCTCACTATGTCTGTTCGTTCGGGCGGAGAAAAACTTTTTAACTAGACCTCGTAGAGAGTTCTAGTTTGTTTTATTAGCTCAGGTCCATTGTTTTATTTTCGGGAAACGCATTTAAAAGTCTTGAAACAGTGTTTTTGTACGATAATTAATGATTTTTATATTTCATATGAAAAAACACGTGATGAGAGCGTTTAGAAATTCGAATTTATTTCTACCGTTGAAAAAATTTGAATCTCAAAAAACCGTTAAATGATAAACCTTTTCTATATGGAAATTCATTTCTACAAATTATTAATTATACTATAGTTATTGTTTTTGAAGTGCAACTTTTAGCGGAAAAATTTCAAATTATTTATTGACCGTTAAATAATAAAGCTTTTCTATATAAGCATTCATTGTAATTGCACTGAAATCAATGATCTTCTAATCTTCAAATGATCTGTAAATGAATGCAAAATAAATAGACAATCAAATGCTGATCGCTAACACAAAAATGCGCTTAAGTCCCTCGATCAATAACACGAGGACTTCTGTAATTTTTTTGGAGCTAATAAGGCATTATAGTCCAAACTTTTGTGCACCTTATGTTCGAGTTTTAAAATTTTTCTCTCACACTAAGAGCATAGCTACTTAATCATTTGATAAATGTTCTAATAGCAACCAAAATGCAATAATAAGCATAAATGAGCGTGAAATCTCGCTAATAAATAAAAATAATAACACTAATACGTCATGTGAGTGCGTATAATGAATGAAGGCTTATGCGATGCTAAAAATAGACTTTATATACTCAATGATTTTTGTTCATGTTTTCCTTTTGTTTATTAGAAAGTAAAAATGCTGAATGATTGTACATAAATATGTATGCTTATGTACCAACACAGAGAGACAGCTTCTATTGCATTAAGTATAATAAAGTTATGACGATACATAAAGAAATTTATAACACATTAAGGTTAATGACGACAATCATGCAATTTTACTTCCACTAGCGCTTCTATATATATATATTTATACATAATATTTGCCATTTTCATATCCAGTAATATTTATTGCTATTTCTTCTTTGTTTATTTTTTCTATTATAGGTAGAGCAACGCGATGTTCCAGGCATCGACTGTGCACATTTGGCAATGGATACAGAGGAAGGAGTTGAAGTTGTATGGAATGAGGTTCAATTTAGTGAGAGAAAAAACTTTAAAGCACAGGAGGAGAAAATTCAAACAGTTTTTGAGAATCTTACTCAATTAGAACATCCCAACATAGTCAAGTTTCATAGATATTGGACTGATACACATAATGATAAGCCTAGGGTAATTAGAGCTATAAGAAATTGTTTATTAAGTCATGAAATTTTAATGTTTTCGTTCCTTCATATTAGGTAATTTTTATAACCGAATATATGTCGTCGGGTTCACTGAAACAATTTCTTAAACGAACGAAACGGAATGTTAAGAAATTGCCACTGCAAGCTTGGAAGCGATGGAGTACACAAATTTTATCAGCACTTAGGTACGATTCGATAAAGGCATGATACAAGTGACAATAAAATAATTTTTATATCTTTCTTTCTTTTGATAATGAAATTATAGTTATTTGCATTCCTGTACCCCGCCGATTATTCACGGCAACCTTACCTGTGATACAATTTTTATTCAACATAATGGTTTAGTTAAAATTGGAAGTGTAGCGCCCGATTCAATTAATCATCATGTTAAAACATGTCGAGAAAATATCAAAAATATGCACTTTATAGCACCCGAGTATGGTGTTGTTGCTGCAAATGCCACCACGAGTACTCTTACACCAGCAATTGATATCTTTTCATTTGGTATGTGTGCATTAGAGATGGCGGCATTAGAGATACAAGGAAATGGAGATTCGGGAAATATGGTGACAGAAGAGAATATAAATAAGACAATTGAAAGTTTAGAGGATGAGCAACAGAAGGACTTTATATATAAGTGCCTGAGTCATGATCCATCAGAGAGACCTAGTGCAAGAGAGCTTTTATTTCATCCGCTTCTCTTCGAGGTTCATACACTCAAACTTTTAGTCGCCCATTGTCTGCTGAATACTGCACGTAAGTCCATTGAGTCTATAATTTTAGTTTAAATTTTATTTAAAAATCTTATAATTCACAGCCAATTTCTCAGACACAATAACTGATGAGATGATGAGACGTCGATATAAGCCTGATGTCGTACTCGCTGACATTCCTCGCATTAATGATCCCGTTGAATTTAAATTGGCCGATGTGCCAGCTGCTGAAAAACTAGAGAAATTTTTAGAAGATGTTAAGTACGTGAACTTGACTTGTTTTGTTTAAAAATACATTCCTAAACCTTATTTTCACAATTCTTTTCTAAAAATATAGAAATGGCATTTATCCACTAACAGCATTTTCAGCAAAACAACCACCTACACCGAGACCTCGAGCAATTTCCCCAGAAACAGCAGAGTCTGTAAAATCAGCTTCGCCTGAGCCGTTAGATGTTGAGTCAAGGAGGGTTGTCAATATGATTTGTAGTGTTAAGCCGTTAGAAAATTGTAATGAGCTCTTGGTAAGTTTATTCTTAGTTTGACATGTCACATGGCATAACATTTCTCGGGAATTAACTGTCTTGACGTTCATTTATATGATATAAAAGTTTTAATGGATAAACTTTCTCGTAATTTTGAGTTTCATCCACTTATACACGTCAAATTTTTAACAGAAATTCCGTCGCAAGCTGCAGTTCTTTGTTTTTAAACTTTTGACGAGATTAAAATCCTGCTTTAATCCCGATAATCTAATTTTGTATTTAATTTTTTTTTTTATTTTATCAATGCAGATGACAATACTTTTAAGAATGGATGATAAAATGAATCGTCAACTCACATGCCAGATATCGCTTGACGATACGGCGATAGCTTTATCGCATGAGCTTGTTCATTTAGGATTTATCAATGATGTAAGTTCTTTTGTCACTAATACTAGGAAGAATATGATTAAAACACATTGGGGTTTTGTGTTAATGATGTCTAAGGTTTAATACATTGCTAGTACTAAGGGGAGAGCAAAATGCCTTAGACTTCAATTGAGCACGACTCTAGAACAGGACAAAACTAATAATGTTTTCTCTATTTACATGAATAATCCAGAACGATAGGGAGAAAACAGCAAGTATGATAGAAGACACACTGTTACAAACGGCAAAGCAACAGCAGCTGCTAGGTGCAACACGAATGTCATCAAGTGATTGTCCACATCAAATGCCTGTACACTCAACCAGTTAGTAAAATAATTCTCACAAAAGAATTTTACAAATATAATTAATAATATTAGTAATCTTAAAGATATAAAAGAACTCACACACAATGATTTATTTATATATATGTAAAATAATTTAAAATAGTTCGTTATAATTTTGAGTAATTTAAATTAATTAATCCACCTCACACCATACCTTCTTTTCTCGATACCTTCTTTAGTTTTGTTGATTCCTTTTGTCACACTTTCTTTTAGTTCTTTTGATTTCTTGTGTCTGTCCAGTATTCCTTCATATTTTTTAGCGCATTTTTGAAACTTGTTTCAAAAAGGTAGCTTAATAACGCACTTTGGTCGGCTGGTCGGCTGGTCGGCTGGCTGGTCGGCTGCTAAGAAAAACTTTTAATCTAGACATCGTAGAGAGTTCTAGTTTTTTGCATTAGTTCCGTTATATCGAGTTATTGGCCCGCCGGACATTTAAAAATCTTAAAACAGTGTATTTATGCTATAATTAATGAATTTTTGTTTTGTTTTCAGTGTAACCTGCTCAAATTTTATTTTACCTCTATAATTTCAATATTACCTCTATAATTTCAAAAAATTTCTAGCCGTTGTAAAATTTGAATTTCAAAAAACCGTTAAATGATAAACTTTTTTTGTATGGAAATTCATTGGAACAAATTATTTAATTATACTATAATTATTATTTCGTAGTGCAACTTATAGCGGGAAAATTTCAAACTATTTATTGACCGTTAGAAAATTTGAATTACAAAAAAATGTTAAATGATAAACCCTTTCTGTATGAAAATTCATTGCAACAAATTATTTAATTATACTATAATTAATTTTTTCGTAGTGCAACTTATAGCGGGAAAATTTCAAATTATTTATTGACCGTTAGAAAATTTGAATTACAAGAAACCGTTAAATGATAAACTCTTTCTGTATGGAAATTCATTGCAACAAATTGTTTAATTATACTATAATTAATTTTTTCGTAGTGCAACTTTTAACGGCAAAATTTCAAATTATTTACTGACCGTTAGAAAATTTGAATTACAAAAAATCGTTAAATGATAAATCCTTTCTGTATGGAAATTCATTGCAACAAATTATTTAATTATACTATAATTAATTTTTTCGTAGTGCAACTTATAGCGGGAAAATTTCAAATTATTTATTGACCGTTAGAAAATTTGAATTACAAAAAACCGTTAAATGATAAACCCTTTCTGTATGGAAATTCATTGCAACAAATTGTTTAATTATACTATAATTAATTTTTTCGTAGTGCAACTTATAGCGGGAAAATTTCAAATTATTTACTGACCGTTAGAAAATTTGAATTAAAAAAAACCGTTAAATGATAAATCCTTTCTGTATGGAAATTCATTGCAACAAATTATTTAATTATACTATAATTAATTTTTTCGTAGTGCAACTTATAGCGGGAAAATTTCAAATTATTTATTGACCTTTAGAAAATTTGAATTACAAAAAAACCGTTAAATGATAAACCCTTTCTGTATGGAAATTTATTGCAACAAATTGTTTAATTATACTATAATTAATATTTTCGTAGTGCAACTTTTAACGGCAAAATTTCAAATTATTTATTGACCGTTAAATAATAATCCTTTCTATATAAGCATTCATTGTAACTTTTTGTTAATTACACTAAAATTAATGATCTTCTAATCTTCTCATGATCTGTAAATGAACGCAAAATAATTACATAATCAAATACTGATCGCTAACACAAAAATGCGCTTAAGTCCCTCGATCAATAACACGAGGACTTCTGTAATTTTTTTATAAACTTTATTTTTGGATGCACCTTTAATTTTATATTAATCATAAATTGTGTTCATATCACGTAGAACAAAAACAAAAATTGTAAAGGCTAATGTCCATTTTATTGAATTCTTTATTAAAATTTAACTTTCATTTGTGATGGAGGAAATAGAATAATTTATTGTGAATATTCCTTTCAAACGGATTAAAAAAATCAGAATGAATAGCGTTGGAAATGTTAAACATTCATTGAATCTTTTCATTATGGCTTAAAATTGAAAATGATTGATGAAACTTTGTGATTTTCATGATTTGATGGATGAAAAATGGATTTTGTGTAGAATTTTCTTTATTTAAATAATGGATTTGCATTTGGCTAATGAATTGTAAATTATTAATACTGTAAACTGCAATGTAGGAACCTCTGTCAGGCGATCAATAATTTATGCATCATCTAGATTCAACAAAATTACTGCACCATAAAATACGTAATAAAATCTTACGTCCACGACTTATTAATTTTATAAAATGTTTCGGCGCTTAGCCATCAATCTCTCTTTAATGATTAAGCTTCTCCGTAACTGTATAAAACTTAAATGCTTAGTAAGATTTGACAGTTTGTAAAAAAGCTTATTAAGCTTTGTTGATAATTACGTTAACGTTGCATACAAAATTTTTCATTCATCAATCTTTGATTTATTGAAAGTTTTCTTAATTTTCAGTCACATTTTTTTAAAAAAAAACTTAAGTTTTGGATATTTTGTTGCACCACACAATCATTCTTTTAACAGACTATTTCTTTTCAGTCAGTGATTCTTAAACCTTTTTGTGTTATATGAAAAATTCTTAAGTTTAAGAACAATTTAAGTTGACTAAAAAGCTTTTAATGCACATTGATATCGCATAGTTTAAGAACCACTAATCTAAAATAGTTACGTAATTTACGAACGATCTCAAAACGAAAGAAAATATTTAGTTCGACAAGAAAATCCATTAACTGCATAATCTAATTAACATCAATAGAATTTTTCATTTACCGTTTTGATTTCTCTCTGTTTTGATGTATGTACAGATGTAATCATCAAATGTATTTATTTCTTCTTTTTTGGATATCGTGACATGACCCTTTTATGGTTTTCGTTTTGCTGTAGATGGATGGAAATGTTGGTTGTATTATTATTATTTTGTATATATGCATATATATATATTTTATTTTCAAATAATCATCCGTAGCATTCACTTGATACTTACCAAAAAATAGTTATTTCAATTATACATATATTTTTTTTAATTATTTGATGATGGAAAAGAATAAGACAAGAATATTTTTTTTACGTAAAACCAAAATCCCGTTGTGATTCATTTCACAGGCATAAGTATTGAGAGAAGTTGGACGGTAGCTGATGGAGCTGAATCCCCAATAATTGAAACAACGACGATTATCAACGATATAGAAAGTTATGCGCCTGATATTGATAAAGCCTAGGATATAATAATGAAGGATATTAATTGCAACATGATTATGAGCGTTGCTTTCTTCTTAGTAATACTTTTTCACGCGTAACATGCTTTCCGACATTATTGTGATGTTTAATTTCCAATTTCCTGAACAAATATTGTACAATCAGCCGATGTACAGCTTACGTTTCCATCAACTACATCAGACATAGCGCTTGAAATTTGTATAAGTTATATCCCATCTCTTTTACGACCAAAAAAGTTTATAAGAGTCATCAACTGTTCATGCTAAAATATCTATGATTAAGAATTGGAACTTCTTAAGCCGATGGATCTGCAATTTTATCATCAACTTTGTAAATTGTTAATTTTATAACAAATTCGTTTAAGTTTCTAATTTAAAAAAAAATGTGTTCTTTTTATATAATTTTTGTAAGTTTAAGGACGTAAATGTTTAGGCCATTATTTGTAAAAATTAATTTTTGTATGATTTCCTGAATAAATTCATGATAAAATTGTAAGACTCATCCGATGCTTTCATATATCTATTGCCTGTCCCTTTTTTAATTCTATTTATATCTACAAAAGAAAAGTAAACAAAAAACATTTAAACGCATGTGACAGTGACGTTGCTTTATTTTATTATCATCAATAAGATTGCAAAAACATGTTCATCTCTAAAAAGGAAATCAAGTAAACAAATTTGTTTCTAAAAATAATGTGAAGAGACATTAACAATTATTATGAACTGAATAGATAAAGTTATAGAACCTCAGACATTCTGAGCGTGTGAATTTATTTTCTAGCTTAATGTTAGTTTGGCAGCTAGCTAAGGTTCTTAGCTTATAGTTGACATTTGATTCCTTTTTCCAAAGATTCTTCTCCTTTTTAGTGACTATTTGGAATTTGTTCTTAAAAGTATTAAGGAGATTAATTACCTCATTCATTATTAAGATTACTGTTTAGAAGTACTAAGTTCTCTAAAGTTACATTCTTTGATTTAAAAATCTCAAATATATTTATTTGGTCGGGTTTATTGAGCATTTTTTTTTTATTATAGTTTTCTCAATTAAAGCTAGTTGCTAAGCTACAATTAATCTAGATTTAAGAAGACCACCTTCTCTCAGAAACAAAACATTTTTATCTTGTTAATTAGAGTTATTTTAAGCTAACAATAGATTAGCAATGGTTGTGTATCTGTTCATATAATAGAGTCGTTCATAAATGTTACATAGAAATGATAACTATCGATCGAGAAGAAGCTTTGACCTTAACCCTAGAGAGTCTAGTTTCTAGGGCAACTTGGGCAATACTACCTTAGGATTGAAATTGTATGCACTATAATATAAAAAATAAAAATATTATTTATCTAAGACTAAGAAGAGTGCCCCGGATATTGAAACCGGCGTCTAGTTCTATGATCAGCTACACAAAAATTGCATCAATAAACGATTAAAGATAGGAATACAGAAGAAAAATAATTAAAATTGAATAAAGAATGTAAACCAATTGAAGTTGAAGCCCAACATGTCGTATTAGCAAAGTTGATGTGTAATTAAAACAGATAAAATAAATTATATATACATGATGCATATATATCGATAATTATAAAGAAGAAGTAAACAAAAAAAAAAAATGCTACAAAATCCTGATTGATTCACATGAATGAAGGAATATAGTGAAGGCTGTAATTTAGTAGTGTTTTAGAGTTGATCTTGATTCTACTAAGTATTAGTCTTTAGGACGCTGTGTTATTCAGGATAAAAAATAAAGTGCGTATGGAATGATTAAGCACCTTCCAGAATGATAAAAATGAAAGTTTTACTATTTTTTTTTTTATTGTAATAAGTAATTGGTAAATGTAGGATTATATTAAAATCAATAATCTTTTTAAGAATTATATAGTGACTGACTGTTTTTTTCGCGCTGTGAAGCACACACACACACATGAGAACAAAGGAGAGTAAATTGTGAAAAATAAAATATAGATATTTAAATTTCATTTAGGGAACACAGAATTAAGAGATTAAAAATGTAAATTTTCATTCTTTTTGTTTGTCATATTTGAGGTATAATATATATTTTTCGAAATACAAAACGATTAAGATCATCTCATTTGGATAATTTCACTAACAAATGACTGAATTGATTGAAAACTTTTAGCGATAACTGCACGAACGGGATACTTGATGATTTTTATTTTAAAGATGCGAATAGGACATTTGATTCTTATATTTTCTAAATGTAGATATGATTTAATGTGCTTGCGGACTTATTAATTCCATGCAATAAAAAAATCTTCAACTTTTGCTTCCTGAGAGTCAGAAAAGCTTCATGTAGATGGATGCAGATGGATGTGTTAAGAAGTAACAATCAAATTTTCAAAAAAATAAACTAACGCAATCACACAAAATTACATGTGAATTGAGTGTTTGTTGATGTTTGTGAATGCTGAGCTTTTATCACACAAATAAAGATCTTGGAAGCTTTTGCCCATTTTCCACTTACTGTTCATAATTTAGGCATCACAGAAATTCAGCACATCATAAAAATGGAAAAATTCTAATGATGCTTACTGTTCTTCCAAATGTGACCTATGCATCTCAACATAAACTTTTATTTTTCTTTTTACACTAATTTTAAAAGGCAGCCGAAAATAGCAAAAATTAAGGATATAATAAATCAATGGAAAGCAAAATATATTTTTGAATTAAACATTTTTTTAAAGAATAACTGAATGTAAGAATTTAACAATTAAATTAAACTAATCAGCATATTTTTTACATAAATCAACCTTCCTTCCTTTGTCATATCTCTCACTCTTTCTCCCTCCTTACCCCATCCCTCACACGACATAGATGCATTATAATTATTAAAAACATACCTACAATAAATGAAGATAGAAAAGGATTAAAACAATATTATAAAAAATACCATAAGTAGGATTAACATAATGAATTAATTCAATACAATGAATTACAATATTGACTAAATTATAAAGTTTAAGAAGAAATGAATCCTTTGTTAGAGTGATTTGAGGACTTAAAGGCTGTCACGTTGAACAACTTACAAATTAGAATACAAACGTCTTAATAATTGTCACATCAATCGTTTAATTGTCAGCAAATGCTTGAAGGTGTGCCGTCTAGACCAGTGCTTCTTAAATTAGCCAACATGGCATGCCCTTTAATTTTCATGTCTCTCGAGGACACAAAAAAAAACATTTTATTTCGATTCTTCCTCATCCGTAATAAAATGAAGGTGATGATGAGAAAATAATAGAAAATTTCAAGTGAAAATCAGAGGAAAATGCAAAGGGAAAGTAGATATGTTGGGGAAATGTGTGGAAAATAGTTCCTTGGTACTGGAGCTGTATTTAATCAATAATATATGATATTTAAAGGTGGAGTCAGAAGCTATATACATCTACCAACAAATCTCTGAAACTCATAGCCAATTTTCTCACAAACCAATGAGTATCATTGAATGGAAAATCACCAAATTTAGATCAAAGCTCCTAATATCACACATCATTTCCATCATTCATGTTGATCCCCCCCTCCTCTTGTTGAGAAAATAAAAACAATATAAAAAGTAATAAACTTTGTAAGTCAATAAAAAAAAAAGATAAAATAGCTTGAAATATATTTAAAATATAAGCTTATTTGCTAGTCATATCGTCATATAAAAAAGAAAGAAAATGAACTCTAGTAATCCCAAAAAATGAAAAATCGACCTCCTTCTCTCTCCGTTTTTCCTGTTGTCAAAACCGAGACATGAATGAAATCATTCTTCTTTAGTTAATTCTGTGGACATTATTAATTCATATATTTTATATGTTTTTCAAATTAGCACGAAAAATTCCATCATAAATTTTAGAATAGTTATGTACATGAAAAAAAAAAATACTCAACAATTAAGGTGAATTTCTTTTGATTTAGGAATCTTAATTATAAAATATAATTGCTATTGGTGTGTTCAGATTTTTGCGTGTGATGAGTCTTTAAGGTGCGCTTTATTGCTAGCTCTATTTTAGTGACCGAAAATCATTGGATTCTTCTTGATAGTGTGCTAGTTATGGAAATTAATTGTTAAAAAGAGCAACTGTTGAAGCAACTTTGTTACAACATAAATCTATGTTGACATTGTATAAGGAAACGTCACAATGTCAACAAGGCCCCTTTGGTATAACTAATTACGGTGGTTTCTTCAAACAATCTTGCACATTTAGCAGTAACACACGTGTTATGGCTCTCAATAATACAATACAATACAATAAAAAGAAAAAAGTAAAGTCCTTACAAAGAAAACTATTTCGAGAAGTGCAGCCAAGACTAGAACATCTAGTAATTGGACTCTCGGAAATATTTTTTAATTATTTGCATGGTTTAGTAGTAACCAATAGAGTAAGGGACCTTAATTTGATAACTCTTAAGTCACATCATATTCTAGAATAGAAACTATGAGGGTCTGGCAAAAGCGCACTTTCAACAATTTCAAAGCATCACACTTAAAAAATCACAAAAAAAAAAATCATTGGCTCAAAAAGTTTATGAGAAATAAGAAATAAAAGAAGTCCATTGAAAATTATTAATTATGCAATTAACATATTTACTGCTCTGTTCTTCTTCATCTTATGTCTTTCTTTCCTAATAATAAAAATAATAATAATAATTTTTTCATCCGTTTTAAAAAAGACGATTAATAGCATTTTAATGATTGTTCAGACACAATACACGCAATTTTCAAGTGATTTTTCCACGAGAAAAGTTCAATCTTGATAAAAACTCGAAAATAATTTACGACTCCGACAAGTGACTGTCGATGATTATATGCTATCAACGGGAAAATCTTAATTTGACCACAAAAAAAGTCAAACAATTATGCATTTTATTATATACTGAGCAGCATGTTGATGTCGTTAGGATGCAGAATGTCACTTACTACTTTGGGCGACTTTAGACTCCATTTGGAAGCATTATGGACTTTAAATAAATCGCTTTGGGTATGGTTGAGCAAACGACACTGTGAAGATTGACTAGCCGTCGTGTGCTGCTTATTATAACTTTCTATAGCTGTAGATTTTAAGAATAAATAAAAGAATGATGAAATCAGCCACAACTATCAAGAATAATTGGCGCTTATACAGTCAAAAAACGCTCTTATATTATAATGAATATAGATTATATAAATATATACATAAATATATATAATTAATTAATTGAATAAAGTAAAAAAGGCAGATATTGTAAATGTTTAACTATTTAATTAAATGAAAAAAATAAAAAATAATAAATAATAAAAAACTGTAATTTTAGAATGAAAAGTGTGATAATTTTTTTAAAAAAATGAAATGTTAAGAAACAAAAAATCAATGAAACTTGAAAAGTAAATGAGAAACCTCGTATGGATCGTTAAGAAATACCAATCAAGCATTAATTAATTTAACAATATCTCTCTTTATAATGATGATAATAGTTATCTATTTCACAAAATAGCCAAAATTTCTGATTAAGTTCTTTTATCTTTCTTTTTCATTTTATTTTTTTAGTAAGGCATACAAAAAAAATATATTAACTTTTCTTCTGGAAGTATATATGAAAAAAATACGCGCGCATTGACTCTTTTTTTTATAGAAATACCAATAAAAAATTTATAATTTATAAAGATGAGAAAATAAAATGAAAAACATTTTCTTAAAAGCTTAGAAAAAAATTGTTGTTGTTATGTTTTTTAATCTTGTTCTCTTATGACTCTCCTTCCCCTCTTCTCCTGGGTATCTATCTCCAAAGAATCCTCTGGATCAAAAATGTAATTAAAGCCCTGACAGCCTTAAGAACCATTCCCTTAACATCATTAGTGAATAAGCCAATTCTCTTTTTCAGGAATTTTGATTTTGCTGTCATTTAAGAATCTTTAACAGTTATTAAGTCTGAAGAGATCTAAGTGACAACATCAGTTCATAGCTATAAAGGACCCCAAAAATGATATTAGTGAAATGAAAATCGGAACAATTATCGGCGTTAATTTCCAAGAAAAGTGTCTTTAGATGAAAAGTTCAAGCAGATCCACAGTTGTGCTCTAACGGATAAAGGCTTAGAGCAGCTTAGAGTTCAATCTTTTCCAAACTTAGTAATACAGTGTATAGTAGAGATTTACATTTTCGAAGACATTGTAAGCTACAAATAACGATTAATCAGGCCAGTATCCATTATTCTAATAATTTACAATCGAAGAAAGTTACGAATCTCTGTTTCACAGTAAAAGGTAGTTTTCAAAATTAAAGATGGTATCAAGAAATTCTTAATTTTAAGTTTAAATATCTTTCAAACAGGAATCACTTCAACAACAAGAATTGAATCCTATTTTCAACATTGTCATGCATATAAAAGATTAAAACATACTGTCCTTATAATCCACTCATGTGCTTACCTACGAGTAAAAAAAAAATAACGGTTTTTAAACATTCAAAAAATTCATTCAGTTGTTCAGCCAGTTCATTTCAAAAGAATAGAAATAAAAAAGGTTTTTTATTTTTTAAAATACAGAATAAAATCAAGACCAACGCGATTAAAAGAATATCATCGATCTAGTCACAAGATAAACACGATTAAGTGCATCAAGTAATAGAATAATCAGAGGAATTATGTCTAAGTTTGTGATAAATTGACAAAAATTGCAAATTTGTTAAAATGTGAAGGTTTCTTATCAGAAAAAAAATATTCATTAAAAAGGTGATTGTCAAATAAGTTATGTGTTACAAATTAAACGAAGAAATTGTGCCTGTAGAAAATAAGTACGCGTCGCCAAAGGTTAAAAATAGCCGTAAATGAGTTGATCTTGACATTAAATTGAATTTGCAAAAATTTTCATTCAAGTATTGATTTTCGCAAAATTCTTTGATTCGTGGTTTTATGATGAAAAAATTGCCGATTAACATTCATTCGACTAGCTTACAATATAAAATGCCATGGTCACAAAGAGATCATAATATCTCCCGCAAAGAATAGTTTGTAAACTGAATGTTTCTTAACATCCAGCAAAGATTTTACTTTGTTATTGTGTGACTAATCTATAGCTTGCTCTTGTTTGCTTGCTAAATAAATGGAAATGAAAAGCGGTACATTTCACTTGATTATTATGATAATAATTGTGTGAAAAACAGAACAATCAGAAACGGTAGAAAAATCTGTGAATTAAAGGCTTTTGATTATTAAATAGCATCAATTTCATAAAATAAAAATCCAAAAATCTAGTCAAATATTATGCAATACTAGCACTTTTGAATATGCCGTCAGAAATATCATTTCACACATTCACTTCTATTTTTCTCATCCGCAGATTGTTTGTAAGGAATAAGTAACATATATCAGATTAGTTTGTGAATTATACAAAATTAAGTAGACAGCTTAGCATAAAGACTTAATTAGTTTAATCAATCAACAATGGTCGCATCTTCCATTGCTTCAATGTCATCATCAAATTTGCTGAGACGCAATGTTAGGATATTATTAGTTGGAGATCAAGGAGTTGGGAAGACATCGCTCATATTATCGCTTGTTAGTGAAGAGTTTCCAGAGGAAGTTCCACCAAAAGCCGAAGAAATTACAATTCCCGCAGGTCTGTTTACCATTTTGATCCATTAAATTTACAAACCCTTAATTCTTGATACTTTTTAGACGTCACTCCAGAACATGTACCCACAAATATAGTCGACTACTCGTCAATAGAACAGAGCGATGATAATTTAATTGAGGAAATCGCAAAGGCTCACGTGGTCTGTGTAGTATATGCTGTAGACGATGAAAGCTCGCTTGATCGACTAAGTTCACATTGGTAATTTTAAACTTATATGAATAAGTATTTTGAGCATGGCTTTTTGTCTTATGTCCAGTTTTGAGTCAAGCAATTTTGGTCTTATGAATTAAGAGATTAGTCCTGAAAAGTTTTTAAGACATGGAATCAAGGATTAAAAAGAAAATCAATTAAGTGTGTCATACCACATAGTTTGATAGCCACAATAATTCACTTGGCAACATGCAGTAGTCAAGTGTGAAATCCCAAAGCCAATAAATGACATCATATTCTATAATTTCTATTTAAACATGATTCACTAGCTTAACCTCAGTGTAGTAGTATCTGCATATATATATATGCAAAAAAAGTGCTCCAAAATGCTTCAATTCGCACGTTTGTTAATTTAATGACTTTGCATTATTTCAGGCTACCATTCATCCGTGAACATTCGCAAGGCGAGAATCGAAAGCCAATCGTGTTGGTAGGAAATAAAATTGATCTTGTTGACTACTCGACAATCGATCACGTTCTGACGATCATGGAGGATTTTAATGAGGTTGAAAGCTGCGTTGAATGCTCAGCAAAGACACTACACAATATATCAGAAATGTTTTATTATGCACAAAAGGCTGTTCTTCATCCCACTGCGCCATTATACATAATGGAAGAGCAAGATGTGAGTGTGCAACAATGTTAATGCTTAAGTCTTTGAGAATTAATTATTTGATTTCTATTACAGTTAACTGAGAAATGTAAAAAGGCACTTGTGAGAATATTTAAAGTTTGTGATATAGACGGTGACGGCCTATTAAATGACTATGAATTAAATCATTTTCAACGACGATGCTTCAATGCACCACTGCAGCCAACAGTTCTTGATGAGGTAAAAGCTGTGCTTATGAAAAATACACCTGATGGAATTAGAGATGATTGTGTCACATTGAGCGGCTTTCTATTTCTTCACTGCCTTTTTATACAACGCGGACGAAATGAGACAACATGGGCAGTTTTGAGACGTTTTGGGTATAATGAAAATTTAGAAATGAGTAAAGATTATTTATGTCCAGCAATAAAAATCCCACCTGGATCCAGTACGGAACTTTCACATCGAGGACAGCAATTTTTAATGGCATTATTTGAGAGAGGTGATAAGGATATGGACGGTGCACTATCACCAGATGAGTTTAAGCGTGTTTTTAGTGCATGTCCAACGCCACCATTTTCGAGTGACATTAAACGAACAGTTCCAACAAATGATAAAGGATGGCCAACATCACATGGATGGATTTGTAGGTGGTCATTACAAACATTCATAGAACTTCCAAAAACCTTAGAATATCTTGCCTATCTTGGTTTCAATGTGCACGAGAATGAATCACAAATAGCGGCAATTCATGTGACACGCGAACGACGAATTGATTTGGCCAAGAAACAAAGCAGTCGAAATACTTACATGTGCCATGTCATAGGAATGAAAGGAGCTGGAAAGACGGCATTATGTCGAGCGTTCTTAGTTGATGATATGAAGAAGCTTAAAGATAAAGACCTGCGTGGAAATAATCAATATTGTATCAATACAGTTCAAGTTTATGGCCAAGAAAAGTATTTAATTTTGCGTGATATAGACGTACGTCAAGTACTCGATCCATTACAGCCATCGGAAGTTCTTTGTGATGTCGCATGTTTAGTTTATGACATTAGTGATCCGAAATCATTTGAATATATAGCGAGAATATACATCAAGTACTTTGCAGAATCAAAAATTCCTGTCTTAATTGTTGGCGCTAAAGGAGATATGGACGAGAAACGACAAGATTATCTGCTGCAACCAGTCGAGTTTTGCCAAAAGTACAAATTATTACCGCCTCAATACTTTAGCATAAAACACAATAAACGCGATCTGTACGTTAAGCTCGGTACGATGGCGTCATTTCCGTAAGTCTTATTCACGATTTTTTTGATTGATCGCTTCTTTATGTATCTCGCCCATCCAGAGATTTCATTTCGTCATTAAGTTGATGAAAATGCTAATTAAAAAATTACTTTTACTCGACAGTACATGCAATATACATATTTGTAGTCTTCTAATTCGTAGAATTATCGAATATAAAATTTTCACACGCATATCCTTTCTTTCTCTCTTTCTCTGTCTCTCACTTCTACTATTTTTGTACAAAACATGTTTTTTCATTCACATATATTCTTATGCTATTTTATACTATGACGATTGCGGATATAGACGCTTCCAACCAGCCTGGATATTATTTTATAAACACAGGTTCGTTCAACTTTGGGAAGAGACGTAAGTGGATATATATTGACTAACATTGGATATTCTTTTAAATTTAAATCTTCTGTCTTTTTAAACAATCTATGGACTAGCATAAACTACAAAACTAATATTTTGAGGACATTCTGTTTTGTTTCTTGACATTTTTTTAGTTCCTTTATCTTTCCTTCTATTTATTTGCATGTACATTAGTTCTATACTTATCCATTTATTTTACCATTTATGTTTTATGCTCTCAATTTTATGTGTTTTTATGTGTTCAAAATTATTATCATGCTCCCTTGTGAAGATCTTTTTCTCGAGCTGCTTCTGTCAGATGCTGCATAATGCCACATAATTTTATAATTTGAGTCACTCATGCAGGGGTGACTACTTTAAGTCTTAAATACTAATTTTATTTTAGATTGTTTTTAAAACTGTGCAAGGATATTTACATATCAAAAAGTTTTGGATGTCACTTCCTATGCTGTATGCATCCAGAATTTCCATTAAAATGACATCCTTATGTAACATAGTCTGGAATTACTTAATATAGATACCTATCAAAAATATAAAGCATAAAGCTTAGGCAAGCTGACTATGCTCAGCTCTGCTTCGCCTCCAGTCTTATTCAGACCAAATGAGCGTATGCAGTGCAAAGTCTAGTGACATAAACTTAAAAAGAATCTGGTTATCCTTAACGTTGCCTGTAAACATCTGACAAAAGCTGTAGAAAAACATCATTCAAGGGATTTCAGTTAATTACAACCTTAATTTCACCATTAAATTCTCTATTTGTTTTACAGTCAACTCAAACACTTTGGACTAATGACGAATGATCCGATGATTTGGTGGAAAACAGTATTAGGAATAGCGACATGCTCACTCGTTGGATTCTTTGTAGTGAAGGCTCTTCATTCTACGCGATGAATATGAAATATTTTAAAGGATACAAGATAATTTTGAAGTTAAAGTTTATGTACATAATAAGGAAGGACGTTCTTTTTTGCACTTTTCATTTAATGACGACATTCATAAGAAAGATTTAATTATATTTGAAGGAAATACAATGAAGTAATTTTATCATTTTTTTTTTCTTTGAATTTGTACCTTATTAATTAAAGAAAGTTTTTTCGTGTAGAATGTATATATACATCGTCTCTATATATTTTTTCTTCTCTATTTTATAATTAATCAATTACATTAACTTGTTAAAATGAGCGAAATAAAAGTGAATTACTTTAGAAACTACTGTTATCAATTTATATGAATAATATTTGGTTTATGGATTTTAAGTTTTTAATGCAGGAACAGAGGAATTGGGATGTCAAAAAGTAGCACTCCTTCCATTTCATCATTTTGTTCCTGTTCGTCAGAATTTTGTTCATCTGGTCCAATTAACAATTTCAATTGAAATACACACGTTAAAATAGCACTCGTTAGTGCTGATGGAATTGCTATGCTGTATGCCAATTTCGTAAGACAATAAAACGATGTAAAAATAATACTTTTATACATTTTTTAAGTTTTAATCATCAACTATCCGATAGTACAGATTTCTTGTTTTAATACAATAATTTTGATTCTAAATGCTTAAAACTTAATTTGGAGCTATTTATTCACTTAAATAATCTATAAATTAACGATTTTAACAGATTTTTAAAATTAAGAATGTTTTGTAAACAAATCAAAAATGTCGTTAAAAATTAATTCAAATTAAATCACTGAAAATTCAAATAAAACACGGTTTAAACTTTCTAACACACACGTGTTTAACACTTGGTAAATTGTTTTTAAAACATAATAAATAAGGAACACTGTTTGATTTAAGCACTAATCACTAACTTTAAAGGATGTTAAAAATATCAATTTAATAATAATATTTGTTGATACTTTAGACACACAAGGATGTGAATTAAATTTGAGTATTTTCTTCATTTTAGTCACTCAACATTTTATGCTCTAAATAATGACTCAATCTTACACTTCAATAATGTACGCTTCGGAAGCAATTTCACAATTATTATTCTTATTTCTCGAAATCCTAAAGTAACCTCTCTCACCCCATTGCTCACCAAATGAATTTTTTACAATCCAATAATCTTCGCCTGCCTCACTGCCAAAACCTATCAAAAGAGCTGCATGTGAATTTTGCTTTTTACAATCTGCTTCGTAATAAATGCCACTTGAATATCTCATAAAGCTTTCGTGCAAATGATCTATTGACACCATTATTGGACCATATTCAATAAGCGCCCGTGTCAATTCATGCTCATCTTCTTTCGGTGGCTGTAGGAACTGCTTAATGGATACGGACACTTTTGAGATATTTTTGACACTCCGTTTACATTTCTCCTGCAATGCAACATAGGGATAGTCAGCCTCAATACTTATTTCACCATTATTTTGGATGTAATTTAATGCACCAATTTCATATCCACCATAACAGCCTGCTGTAAAGTATCCGTGAGCACAATCAACAATCTCTTGCTCGGACAGATCTAAGAGCTTTCCAGTTTTTAAGAAAATATTTGATTCCAACGCAGAAATAGCAGCAAACGCATAACAACATCCACAATCACCTTGATTCTTTACACTTGTCACAGCACCACGTTCCCGCCAATCAAAGGATGTATAATTCGTAATCTTACTGCGTATGTCGTGCACAACAGTCGCATTATAATTTTTCTTAATATACTGTTCAGTACTGGCTAATTCTGTATTAATCTTAAGAAACTCAGCGTAGGTCATGTCTGAGAACTGATTAATCCCCATTTTAAATGTCGAGAGACCAGCCGCGTGCTTTAAATTATGTTTTAAAGACGTTCTTAAATTGTCCATAAAAATCTCTTGTCTCTTTAGTTCCTCTTCATATGTTGTATAGCTTTTGTTATACTCAACCTTAAAATAAATAATTACACACAAATTTTTCATCATTTTCATCATTTTTCTCGTGGAAAATTGGCTCAAAAAATGATCATTTTTCTCACTTTAAATTTATTCCATGACTCAATACTTTCGAAACTATTAAGATAGTTGTTCAGGAGGTTCCCGAGAACAAATAAAACACCAAGAAACATTTTAATTCACTATTAAATTTGTAGTAAGCTTGAATGGAAGGAAGAGAAAAATATTTTTCTCAATGAAATCTGCCACACTTTTTGACTGCAGATAAGAAACTGAGCATTTAGTTAAATCACGCGAGTAATTTTATTTTGATTTTTTTTTCATCATCGTTCTTCTCAAATTGACGCTTACTCTTGACTCTGCCAGAGATTAAAACAGTTTCCTTTCTTTTTTTTTCTTGCTTGCTTCTCGTTCTTTACTGTATTCTGTGTTTTGAGTGTTGCTTGCCTGAGAAAAGCAGCGAATTGTGCGGTGGCGCAATAAATTGTAAGTAAGCTGCTCGTACAGCAACGAATGAGTAGACTGACAAGACATGCCTCCAGATTTTTACATTCTCTGTGTTTTTTTTTGTTATTTGAAGTTCCAATTACAATTACAAATCTTCTCTTAGCTAGCTAAGTACGTAATTTGCAAAGAAAACAGACAGCATGTTGTAAAAAATGTGATTATTCATGAACTTTATTGTATGCTAATGGTGATAATGAAGCGATTAAGAGCGCAATCATAACACAATTAAGATAATTTAATAAACGGCATCAGTAAGATGAGGAAGTTGATAATCTAATCTTAATCGATTGATAATGTAATACTATAACTGTTTGAGTTTGTAACGTATTTCTGATTTTTAAAAGTGCTGAATTATGAAAAATTCAAAAAAATTGTAACGGAAATTATGTTTAAAGAATGGATTAGATACAGTATGCATTAGAATCTTAAATAAATTATATACTGAGTACAATATGATCCAGGAAAGGAATCTAATTATTGACCCAAAATGCAGACAATAGTTATAATTTTAAAGCTAATTCTAGAAAAATTATTCAATGCCGTTCAATAGGTAGGATTAATTGTAGTCCCACATTCTTAAAAACAATTTTTCAAGTTCACATCAGCATTGTTTGACATTGATCCACAATAATTAAATCTTTTTCAGTTTAATTGATCTCTCATTCTTGAGACTCGTCGATAATTGGAATTAGATTGAAGGAGGCAATTTTGCAGTGATTATTTCTGTTTCTGGCTATTCTCATGTATCCAGACTCACCCCATTTATTTCCATATGAATTTTTAAATGTCCAAAAGTCTAGTCCATTTTCAGTTCCATATCCAATCAGTAAAATTGCATGGGTAGGCATTCTAGTTTCATCATTGCAGCCTTCTTCGTAGTAAATTCCACTTGAATAGCGATAAAATGAATCATTTAATGAATCAATAACGCCAATTATAGGACCTGCGTTATATAAAGCTTTTTTAAGCAGTTCCTCATCTTCTCTCTCAAATTCGATCATTTCCTTAATTCGAAAATTTACACGTTTAACATTCTTTTCACATTGACTTTGATTCTCTATGTATGGATAATTATTTTGCAGACTCAATCCGCCAGTTTTATCAATATAGGAGTATACTCCATCAAGTATGCCTCCATCACATCCTTTAGTTCCATGACTTGTTGCACAATCCACGATTTCTTGTCGCGAAAACACAAAAGACTTGCCAGTTTTAATGTAAAATGCACTTTCTAGTGCTTCTAGACCCACAAATGCATAACATGATCCACAACGTCCTTGATTCTTGACAGGGAAGTTTATGCCTTTATCCCTCCAATCGAAATTGTCAGGAGTTGTCTTATTAAAATTATTATCCGTAAATAATACAATGTTTGGTGGTTCAAAGTCCTTAAAATCAGTCGTTTCATAAAAATCATCTTCCTCAAAGTTATTCTGTTTGTACAGTTCTTCAAATGTCATGTCAGCAAACTGATTCACAGCTATCTTAAATGTTTTATCTTTCATTTGATTGTGACGATGAATGATCCTTAAATTTTCATAGAATATTTCACGTCTTGCTGTTGTTTCATTGAATGATTCATAGGACTTGTTGAAGTCGTGCTGCGTAGAAAAAAATTCAAAGGAATTAAGTCAATCCACATCAACATCTTATATCACGACATTCTCACCTTAAACTTGTGCCATAATTTCTCATTTAATTTATTATCACTGCTAATCACATTTATCCCACCATCGTCCGTGTTAATCGATAATCCAAGTATTGAAACTGCACCGAGTGCAAGTATAATTAATGTAATCATGTTGATAAGTTTTAGTTCGATGCAAAATTCGATTTATGTAGTTTAAACTTTACAGCTGATAAGACTCGACTGAAATATTTTCATCATTGTCATAGGCTTAAATGATGGATGATGCACATGCAAGCTAGAAATTTTTTTAATTCCGTTATTTTAACGGATTCCAATTTTTCAAAATTGTTTTAGTTTAAATTCTTCGTTAATAGATGGCAGGAAAATCGTGTGTTGTTCAAAAATCAGTAATTTAATTAAATGGCAGGTAATCAATCAGCACATCCAGACATTGTATGTCCTTATAATGCAGAAAGGTTTGGAAATGTGAGAGAAGTAACATCATGCATTATTTCAGTCTCATCATGCAAACCAGGTAAAATAAACTTATTTTCACTGATCATTTAACTTCCAATTAAACTGAATTTTGATAGGATTTGGAGTTGATCAACTAAGGGATAATTTATTGGATACTTATTGGCAATCAGATGGTCAATTACCACATTTAATCAACATCCAGTTCCCTCAAAAAACCACAATTAGTCATGTGTACATTTTTAGTGACTACAAACTTGATGAATCATATACGCCTGGGAAAATATCTATTAGGCAAGGAACTCACTTTAATGATCTTAATGAAATAGAAGTGGTTACTCTTTGTGAGCCATCTGGATGGACAGTTATTCCTATTAAAACTATTCGTGATAAACCTGTAAGAACATTCATGCTACAAATAGCTATAATAAGTAATCACCAAAACGGACGTGATACGCACATGAGACAGATTAAAATTCATTCTCCTGTAGAACAACCAAAGAATCAGGCACTGGATTATGTCAATGAATATTCTACAGTCGAATTTCAACAATTTGCTACAATTCGATAAGTTTGATTCATGCAGGTATCACTGATGTATTAATCTGTTTCCTATCTTTATTAAATAAACTTCAATTACACATTTAAAATTATCTTTCTGTGTGGCATGTCCACTGCTTTGATGATACTAACTCAGCTTCTTCCACAAACAGAAAGATAAGTTAAATTAAACGTTTCGTTCAGCATAAACATGTTAATTAGAGAAAGTGATTAATTCTCACGATTCCACTAATTATGCTAGAAAGTCTCAAAACTTTTATATTAGAGGTCTGGCATTGTATAATTCGCTTGATCAAAGAATCCGAAATACTTTTTCGTTTATACATACCTACAGTAGCGCTCAAAAGTATCGGACCACATATAAAAAAACACAATTTTCTCATTTAAAATGTTTTTATTGCATCTAGAACGCTGAATTTTTTATCAAATACGTATTTTACCATAATATATTAAAAAACGAATCTTGCTACTTATATTATTTAATATTTTCTAATGGAAAAAATAAATTTCAAAAAAATATGCGCTCAAAAGTATCGGACCAGATTCGAATTTTTTTAAAAAAAACTCTTTTATTTACTTTAGAAATCAAGTAAGTATTAATTTAACTAAATGATATATTTAAATACAAGTTAACATTATTTTAAGGATGGTTAAGACAAAGGAGATATCAGAAGACGTCAGAAAATTGATTATTCGTGCTGTACAAGAGAAAAAATCACATAGAGAAGTTGCAACACTTTTTGGCGTAAGCAAAACGTCGGTAACTAATCTTCTCAAGCGCTTTAGAGAGCGAAATAATGTCCAAAATAAGCCAAGAAGTGGAAGGCCTAAAGTAACGACAGAAAGAGATAACAAAATCCTCGTAAGAATGTCAAAAAGGGATCCTCGCAAGACAGCAGTCGAACTTAATGAAACATTACATAAGGAACATGCTGTGAAATGCAGTGTTTCTACTACAAAACGTCGTCTATGCAAGGCTGAACTATTTGGACGACGTCCTGCGAAGAAGCCATTAATCTCTGTGAAGAATAAGAAAGCCCGATTAAAATTCGCGAAGGATCATTTAAATTGGGTATCTAAAGAGTGGTAAAAAGTTCTTTGGTCTGATGAATCAAAGTTTATGGTGTTTGAGAGCGATGGTATAAAGTATGTTCGTCGTCCAGAAGGTCAGAGATTCAATCCGAAATATCAGTTGCCAACTGTAAAACATGGTGGCGGTTCAGTTATGGTGTGGGGTGCGTTTAGTCGTGATATGGTTGGTCCGATTCATCGCATAAATGGAATAATGGATCAAGTGGTCTATAAGGACATCATCGCCAATAAAATGCTGCCATTTGCTAAAGACAAGATGCCACGGGATGGATATTTCAGCAGGATAATGATCCTAAGCATACAGCGAAATCCATCAAAGAATTCTTCAAGATCAAAAAAATTCGTTTGTTGGAATCGCCATCTCAAAGTCCTGATCTCAATCCTATTGAGCACCTTTGGGAGCATATAGATCGTAAAATGAAAGGCAACAGACCACGGAATAAGGAAGAATTATTTAATAACATCAATGAGTGTTGGCAAAATATTCCATTGGATGTTATCATCAAATTGGTGGATTCGATGCCTAGTCGTTGCAAAGCAGTTATAGCCGCAAGAGGCTATGCCACGAAATATTAATAAAATTTTTTATTTGAGCTTTTTCTAGTCCATAAAACAGTTTTTTAAAAAAATTCGAATCTGGTCCGATACTTTTGAGCGCATATTTTTTTGAAATTTATTTTTTCCATTAGAAAATATTAAATAATATAAGTAGCAAGATTCGTTTTTTAATATATTCTGGTAAAATACGTATTTGATAAAAAAATTCAGCGTTCCAGATGCAATAAAAAAATTTTAAATGAGAAAATTGTGTTTTTTTATATGTGGTCCGATACTTTTGAGCGCTACTGTAGGTATTATAAATGATAAAGAATGCTAATATAGATACAAAATCGATATTTTTTTTTGAAAATAGCCTACTATGATCGAAACCAAAATTGATTTAAATTGCATTTTAAAACATATCCAGGTATTATAAATGATAAAGAACGCTAATATTGATATAAAATCGATATTTTTTTAAAAATAGCCTCCTATGATCAAAACCAAAAATGCTTTAAATTGCATTTTAAAACATATCCAGGAATTTAAATGATAAAGAATGCTTATAAAGATATAAAATCGATATTTTTTTTGAAAATAGCCTCCAATGATCGAAACCAAAATTGTTTTAAATTGCATTTTAAAACATATCCAGGTATTATAAATGATAAAGAATGCTAAAATAGATAAAAAATCGAGATTTTTTGAAAAAAACCTACTATGATCAAAACCAAAATTGTTTTAAATTGCATTTTAAAACATATCCAGGAATTTAAATGATAAAGAATGCTAATAAAGATATAAAATCGATATTTTTTTTGAAAATAGCCTACTATGATCAAAACCAAAATTGATTTAAATTGCATTTTAAAACATATCCAGGAATTTAAATGATAAAGAATGCTAATAAAGATATAAAATCGATATTTTTTTTGAAAATAGCCTACTATGATCAAAACCAAAATTGATTTAAATTGCATTTTAAAACATATCCAGGAATTTAAATGATAAAGAATGCTAATAAAGATATAAAATCGATATTTTTTTTGAAAATAGCCTACTATGATCAAAACCAAAATTGATTTAAATTGCATTTTAAAACATATCCAGGAATTTAAATGATAAAGAATGCTAATAAAGATATAAAATCGATATTGTTTTTGAAAATAGCCTACTATGATCAAAACCAAAATTGATTTAAATTGCATTTTAAAACATATCCAGGAATTTAAATGATAAAGAATGCTAATAAAGATATAAAATCGATATTTTTTTTGAAAATAGCCTCCAATGATCGAAACCAAAATTGTTTTAAATTGCATTTTAAAACATATCCAGGTATTATAACTGATAAAAAATGCTAATATAGATATAAAATCGATATTTTTTTTGAAAAAAAAGCCTACTATGATCAAAATCAAAATTGATTTAAATTGCATTTTAAAACATATCCAGGAATTTAAATGATAAAGAATGCTAATAAAGGTATAAAATCGATATTGTTTTTGAAAATAGCCTACTATGATCAAAACCAAAATTGATTTAAATTGCATTTTAAAACATATCCAGGTATTATAAATGATAAAGAGTGCTAATATAGATATGAAATCGATATTTGTTTTGAAAAAAAAAGCCTACTATGATCAAAACCAAAATTGATTTAAATTGCATTTTAAAACATATCTAGGTATTAAAATGATAAAGAATGCTAATAAACATATTAAATCGATATTTTTTTTGAAAAAAAAGCCTACTATGATCAAAATCAAAATTGATTTTAATTGCATTTCAAAACGTATCAAGGTATTATAAATGATAAAGAATGCTAATATAGATATAAAATCGATATTTTTTTGAAAATAGCCTCCTATGATCGAAATTAAAATTGTTTTAAATTGCATTTTAAAACATATTCAGGTATTATAAATGATAAAGAATGCTAATATTGATATAAAATCGATATTTCTTTGAAAATAGCCTACTATGATCGAAAACCAAAAATGCTTAAAATTGCATTTCAAAACATATCCAGGTATTATAAATGATAAAGAATGCTAAAATTGCTATGAAATCGATTTTTTTTTTTTGAAAATAGCCTACTTTGTTTGAAACCAAAATTGATTAGACTGAGAAATTTAAAAATGTTTATCGAGATTTTTTAACAAAAAAAAATTGTCTGCTTATATGAACATTCTAACACCAATTTCATGTCCATTTCGACTGAAATGGATGATTCGACTCCGAATTTTCAAATAACATATCTACTCCTAAACATTTGAACAAAACTGTGATTTTTAAACAGTTGAATGAATGAAGTGAAACAAAATGGAAACATTCGAGCGAATCTCGAACATAATTTTATATGAAATAGCAAACATCTTTAGATCAGTTGAACCCACTTGAACCCACCTTGATTTTATTTTTTAAACAATTTGGAATAATATATTTTTAAAAAGCAAACATTCAACCAATATTTATGTTTTCTTCTTATTTAATTTTTTGGAATAATGAAATTGACAAATTAATAAATGGGATTTTTTTTTTGGATGCAAATCCTATTAGATAACAAATCCACTTATTATTACAAGTGGAATTATTATCCGCTATGACGAATAAGTTTTTGGATTTAATTTAATCCATAATTTTAATCGTGTTCCATAAAGATAATAATCCCACTTAGAAATGTAAGTAATTATTTACTTGTAATTCCACTTGTAATTTTAGGTGGGATTACTATCTTCCCGGAAGGATAATAATTACACGTGTATTTCTAAGTGGGAATATTATCCCGCAGGGAATATCGTGAAATTAATATCTTTCGGGGATTTTACCCCCCATCAAGTTAAAATTGCTAAATGGATATTAGCTGATTTATTGAACACCCTGCCGCAAATTAAGTATTTGAATTTAATTGGTATAAAGACAACTGAAAGTTATGTCCCACAAAATAAGATAGTTCATGTTAATTTAGAGGAACTGCATGTTAAAAATGACACTTGTTTTGTTTTTCGCAACAATTCACTAGTTGTACTTCAATTGGATTATACATTTAAGGCTTCAGTATCTTATCAGAATCAAGTCACCAACTTTTTTAAGCATTAAAGAAAACTTCATAAGCTAAGAATATCCGGTAATAATTGTCGTGTATTCTTCTTTCTTAATATCATGGAATTTAAATTTCACTTGAAAACCTTTATACTTGACCATCCACACAAAATAAACCTTTAAGATGAAATAAACAAATTTTTAATGCTGCATCAGAAGTCATTAGATCTTTTAGCTCTAAATCATTCATGTTTATCAATTGACAGAACTAATAAGCTTAAAAATATTAAGCATTATAAATTGACAACATTCGATTGCAAAAAAATATTAGATGGAAAGAGAACATTAAGTCGAATTGAAAGCCTTAAATTTCATCTTAGTGATGATATTACGAATAACAAGCACACATACAACATTTTTAAAAATCTGAAGCATATTCAGCCTGTTTCACTAAAGTGGATTATCCTCGATTTCGGATTATCCACTTCAGTTTTTTGGAAATATCTCCAGATGCTTAAGGTTATTAAGAGATCTAATGTGTGATCTAGTTAGAGTATTTTGCTACTTAAATTAACATAAACTTAGAATTTTTATATCTTCACTAGTTTGAGAATTATAGCAAATATCGAAGATAATCTACTAGATTTGGCTAGAAAATTGAATAATTAATACTTCTTAACGAAAAGTAAAAGTTTAAAGTATACAGAAATTTCAGGCATACTTCACTCTATTATAGTCCAAAATTAGAAATACCACACCTCTTATAAAGTTTAAGATATTTACAAAAAACTGAAGTGGATAATCCGAAATCGAAGATAATCCACTTTAGTGAAACAGGCCGATTGAGTTTGAATGCACAAATGAAGCACAGAATTCAATTTTGCAAAATCTTTATGCTATGAGCAAAATAATCACTGATCTGGAATCGCTGAAAATATCAGAAATTAGTGCTTACAACATTATCTTTCATAAACTCAAGAAAATATCTTTGCTGTCAATTACTCAAGAGTTTGTCTTTAATGATTTTATAGATCGGCATTGTGACATTTTAGAAGAAATAGAAATAAAGTTTAATGTCAACATTAATGCTCGAACGGTTGATCAAATGCTGAAATGCACGAATTTAAAGATTATCTATAATGATGTTTCACTCTTGCCTTTTATCAACGGAATATCATCAAGAAGGAAACCTTTAACATTTATTATGGGCTTAGTAGCATTCCGATTTCCTGACGACACAGCAATTTGGGACAAAAGATGCATAATTTGGAGTAACGAGCTAGCTGAAAAGTTTAATCCTGAAAGCTTTACGTACAAAAATAAGAAGTTCGAAATTGAATATAGTTAAAGTTATTGACCTTTTAATAACATTTTATTAATTTTCATAAGTCCAAAAGTTTGAGAAGTAATAAATGAATTATTTAATACGATTTCCTAATTGAACCTGACTAAATTTTGGGAAAGCATCAAATATATTAAAGTTAAAGTGATTATTGTCTGATCTATCTAGTTGCTGCATGCTTATTACTTGTTTACTAAAAGAGTTTACACACTTATGTTTTGACTTGTATACACAACTAATTTGATACTTATTACATTTTTGGGGATATACCAAAACGTGATTTTACAATCTTTTGATTTTTTTTATAAATAAAACACAATTGGTGATTTACCGGAGACAAAAAGGTGCTTAGCAGAAGTCTAATAACTGGAATTACATAAAATGTAATAGTTAAGGATATAAATGGTCTTGGGTATGAACATTTCATAAACATTATAACCAAATTTCAAGCTAAAGTGACTTGTGATAACTTATCACCGTTCTTAATTTTTACATAAAGGCTGTTAACCACAAATAAGAAATAGTTATTGAGTGCTAAAGAAACAAGTTTTTTAAATACTTGATTATATAATCCACTCCTGCTATAAACGTAAATATCGTAAGTGATTAAGACACTTCCAATAATTGTTACAATCATGAACATTATCATCTTTTTATGACGACTCTGTAATTTTACAAATTATGAGTTAAAACTATTAAAATTTAAAGATTTGTGATCTTGCCTGTTTTATCGCAATAATCAATAGTATCCCACTGACTGCAGCTAATAACAAATAAAGCCCTGATATTGAAAAAGTTTTTATCACTAAAATTAAAGAAGAATTCAATTAATTCCAATAAATTACATGGCAATTTATCACCTTACAAGTTGGCTTGTCGATAATTGCACGATCACCGATGAATATAATATCACTATCTGGATTTATTGACAATAAGATGGCTAAAGACCCAAAAATGATGGAACATCCAAGAAATCCAAATACTGTGTATAGCCATCCTAATATTAATCCACCGGTTCTCAAAGTAAAACAAAAACAGCACCCTTTTGCCTTTAAATTCTTCATTTTATAAATTATTAAACATTCAAGAACCTTAAGTTCAATAATTATTGGTGGTAGTCTTTTTGATCTCCAAATCGCAACTAACTTCTACACATGTTCGCAAGAAGTATTTAACATTTTTATTCCATGTTTACTGATTTACTTAGTAACTGAATGATTCTGGGGAAAATTATTATGGACAGCAAAATTTCACACGTTTTATCTTATAATGAACATACAGGCTCGTAGTCTGGTAGATTCCGTAGATTCCGGTCGTCTGATTTTGAGTCGATTGTAAACTAGATGATCTTTAAGTTGACATAATTCTATTTATTTTTGATTCTAATTTTCTTGGGTCTATATAATAGATTGTAACATTTAAGCTAGTGTGGTAGCCAATTGCGGCTGCATATTTTCAGTTTTGATCTTCACATAAAGGCTGTACACAACAAAATAATAGTACACATTGAGGCATATGTAAGCTACTTCTTTTATAATATTCTTTGCATATTGTCCGTATGAGAATAGCAAATATATCAAGTAGATTGTTTCGATGATTCTTAAGACCATGTACATCATCATTTTCATATGACGATTCTGTAACGAAAAGTGTTAATTAAGGTTTTTCAAAACTTAGTCTTTTTTTTAAGATTCTCAGACTTAGTTCTCTTACTTGTTTGATTCCAACAACAAGCAAAACTCCAGAAATTCCATGAATTAAGAGCACAAATGCTAGCCACATTGAGAGCGAAACAACTAAAATAATAAATAATATAGTGTTTTCAATAATATAATGTCGTGATCACACAGTGAATCCCAGTCATATCGACTCGCTTCTATAATCAAATTCAGATAATGCCTTTTTTTAATTCATATCGTATTCACGTGTGAATTTATTGTTTTTGTTCATATTGAAAAATCAGTTTTTCGAATTTTGCGAGGAAATGGAGCAAGACAGCTAAAAATTGTCTTAAAAAGTTTGTATTTAAAAGTATACATCTTCTGCAATAATCAGAATTGAAATTGATTGAAGCATTGCTGAGAAAATCGCAAAATACGCTTTCTATAAACAAGCAAGTTAATCAGCAAGAAAACTCAATAACGACACATCGTAGAGACCTCTAGTTTTTTGCATTTAATCCGTGCTGTTTTATAGAAGAGTTGTGTTGTTTTTGCGCAAGGTAAGATCAGTTGTTGCTTCAGAAAAAGCAAAAAACCTTCTTTTCTTCTTAATTTTTAATAATGAAAGTATACTGTGATTTTTTTTTATGGAAACTTTGGATGAAAAAAAATTTTTTGAGCAAAGAACCAAGAAGGAAATACATTTTCAATTTTGGACTAGGGGCGAGGGTTTATCCAAATGGATTGAAACTTTGCATAAATATTCTAGTGCTTAAAACAAATACAAATAAAACATCCAAAAATTTTTTTGAGCAAAGAACCAAGAAGGAAATACATTTTCAATTTTGGACTAGGGGCGACCCTAGTCAAAATCAATTTTCTCACTTTTTTCTTCGAGGGTTTATCCAAATGGATTGAAACTTTGCATGAATATTCTAGTGCTTAAAACAAATACAAATAAAACATCTTAAAATTTTTTTGAGCAAAGAACCAAGTAGGAAATACATTTTCAATTAGGAACTTGGGACAGGTCTAGTCAAAATCTAGTTTTTCACTTTTTTCTTCGAAGGTTTATCCAATTACAGTGAAACTTTGCATGAATATTCTAGTGCTTAAAACAAATACAAATAAAACATCTTAAAATTTTTTTGAGCAAAGAACCAAGAAGGAAATACATTTTCAATTTTGGACTAGGGGCGACCCTAGTCAAAATCAATTTTGTCACTTTTTTCTTCGAAGGTTTATCCAATTACAGTGACACTTTGCATAAATATTCTAGTGCTTAAAACAAATACAAATAAAACATCCTAAAATTTTTTTGAGCAAAGAACCAAGAAGGAAATACATTTTCAATTTTGGACTAGGGGCGACCCTAGTCAAAATCAATTTTGTCACTTTTTTCTTCGAGGGTTTATCCAAATGGATTGAAACTTTGCATGAATATTCTAGTGCTTAAAACAAATACAAATAAAACATCCTAAAATTTTTTTGAGTAAAGAACCAAGAAGGAAATACATTTTCAATTTTGGACTAGGGGCGACCCTAGTCAAAATCAATTTTCTCACTTTTTTCTTCGAGGGTTTATCCAAATGGATTGAAACTTTGCATGAATATTCTAGTGCTTAAAACAAATACAAATAAAACATTTTAAAATTTTTTTGAGCAAAGAACCAAGTAGGAAATACATTTTCAATTAGGAACTTGGGACAGGTCTAGTCAAAATCTAGTTTTTCACTTTTTTCTTCGAAGGTTTATCCAATTACAGTGAAACTTTGCATGAATATTCTAGTGCTTAAAACAAATACAAATAAAACATCTTAAAATTTTTTTGAGCAAAGAACCAAGAAGGAAATACATTTTCAATTTTGGACTAGGGGCGACCCTAGTCAAAATCAATTTTGTCACTTTTTTCTTCGAGGGTTTATCCAAATGGATTGAAACTTTGCATGAATATTCTAGTGCTTAAAACAAATACAAATAAAACATCCTAAAATTTTTTTGAGCAAAGAACCAAGAAGGAAATACATTTTCAATTTTGGACTAGGGGCGACCCTAGTCAAAATCAATTTTCTCACTTTTTTCTTCGAGGGTTTATCCAAATGGATTGAAACTTTGCATGAATATTCTAGTGCTTAAAACAAATACAAATAAAACATCTTAAAATTTTTTTGAGCAAAGAACCAAGTAGGAAATACATTTTCAATTAGGAACTTGGGACAGGTCTAGTCAAAATCTAGTTTTTCACTTTTTTTCGAAGATTTATCCAATTACAGTGAAAGTTTGGGTGAGTTTACTAATATTTATACAAAACAGTTTTAAATATCTAAAGCAAGAAATGTATTCTTTATATCGTCAGACCCAAATTTTATAAATTTGGTTGTACATTCAAAAACAACGTGGTGTCCATCAAGTAGAACGGTGACCTAACGAGTTGAGTGATGTACTATATATGGGTTTTTTGTGCTATTTTGTGAAAGCAGAAAAACAACCTCTTTGAATTTTGTGAAGATTCCAGGTCCGAGATATGAGCATTTGAAAACGAAAATAGGTCCGATTTTTCACATTCTTACTTTTTCAACTTTATCTCAAGCAAGACTAAACGAAAATTGTTGAAACTTTGCCTGTTTTATGTGCAATTGACCCTTAATCAAATAAACTTAACAAAAATATTTTAGGTTCCATAGTTGTAAAGATATGGCGATTCTAAAATGCAACCTAGTGCTAAATTAGCTATTTTTTTATATTTTTTACTGTAAATCTGGTAAATCTTGATAAAGAGTGATCAAACTTGGCCAGTAATTTGTGCAAGTGTTCCTCAATCAAATAAATTTAACAAAAAAAATTTTATGTCATATAGTTGTATAGATATAGCCATTTTGCGTTCCAGCCTAGTGCAAAACTAGCTTTTCGTTCTTACATTTTCAACTGTAAATCCGGTAAATTTTGATAAAGAATGTTCAAACTTAGCCAGTAATTTGTGCAATTGACTCTTAATCAAATAAACTTAACAAAAATATTTTAGGTTCCATAGCTGTAAAGATATGGCAATTTTATGATTCAACCTAGTACAAAATTAGCTAATACAAGCATAGTAGAATCGCCATATCTTTACAACTATAGAACCTAAAATATTGTTGTTAAGTTTTTTTGATTAAGGGTCAATTGCACAAATTACTGGCCAAGTTTATACACTCTTTATCAAAACTTATGCGATTTACAGTCAAAAATGTAAAATAGTAGCTAATTTTGCCTTAGGTTGAATCGTAAAATTGCCATATCTTTACAGCTATGGAACCTAAAATATTTTAGTTAAGTTTATTTGATTAAGAGTCAATTGCACAAATTACTGGCCAATTTTAAACACTCTTTATCAAAACTTATACGATTTACAGTCAAAAATGTAAAATAGTAGCTAATTTTGCCTTAGGTTGAATCATAAAATTGCCATATCTTTACAGCTATGGAACGTAAAATATTTTTGTTAAGTTTATTTGATTAAAGGTCAATTGCACAAATTACTGGCCAAGTTTAAACACTCTTTATCAAAACTTATACGATTTACAGTCAAAAATGTAAAATTGTAGCTTATTTTGCCTTAGGTTGAATCATAAAATTGCCATATCTTTACAGCTTTGGAACCTAAAATATTTTTGTTAAGTTTATTTGATTAAGGGCCAATTGCACAAATTACTGGCCAAGTTTGAACATTCTTAATCAAAATTTACCGGATTTACAGTTGAAAATGTAAGAACGAAAAGCTAGTTTTGCACTAGGCTGGAACGCAAAATGGCTACTATATGACACAACTATATGACATAAAATTTTTTTGTTAAATTTATTTGATTGAGGAACATTTGCACAAATTACTGGCCAAGTTTGATCACTTTTTATCAAGATTTACCAGATTTACAGTAAAAAATATAAAAAAATAGCTAATTTAGCACCAGGTTGCATTTTAGAATCGCCATATCTTTACAACTATGGAACCTAAAATATTTTTGTTAAGTTTATTTGATTAAGGGTCAATTGCAAATAAAACAGGAAAAGTTTCAACAATTTTCGTTTAGTCTTGCTTGAGATAAAGTTGAAAAAGTAAGAATGTGAAAAATCGGACCTATTTTCGTTTTCAAATGCTCATATCTCGGACCTGGAATCTTCACAAAATTCACAAGAAATGTGTGACTTGAAGATTAGACTGCTCATACAAAGTTTTGCTGTATTTGGATTTATCCTTGAAGAAAAAAGTGAAAAACTAGATTTTGACTAGACCTGTCCCAAGTTCCTAATTGAAAATGTATTTCCTACTTGGTTCTTTGCTCAAAAAAATTTTAAGATGTTTTATTTGTATTTGTTTTAAGCACTAGAATATTCATGCAAAGTTTCAATCCATTTGGATAAACCCTCGAAGAAAAAAGTGACAAAATTGATTTTGACTAGGGTCGCCCCTAGTCCAAAATTGAAAATGTATTTCCTTCTTGGTTCTTTGCTCAAAAAAATTTTAGGATGTTTTATTTGTATTTGTTTTAAGCACTAGAATATTCATGCAAAGTTTCAATCCATTTGGATAAACCCTCGAAGAAAAAAGTGACAAAATTGATTTTGACTAGGGTCGCCCCTAGTCCAAAATTGAAAATGTATTTCCTTCTTGGTTCTTTGCTCAAAAAAATTTTAGGATGTTTTATTTGTATTTGTTTTAAGCACTAGAATATTTATGCAAAGTCTCACTGTAATTGGATAAACCTTCGAAAGAAAAGTGAAAAACTAGATTTTGACTAGACCTGTCCCAAGTTCCTAATTGAAAATGTATTTCCTACTTGGTTCTTTGCTCAAAAAAATTTGTGGATGTTTTATTTGTATTTGTTTTAAGCACTAGAATATTCATGCAAAGTTTCAATCCATTTGGAAAAACCCTCGAAGAAAAAAGTGACAAAATTGATTTTGGCTAGGGTCGCCCCTAGTCCAAAATTGAAAATGTATTTCCTTCTTGGTTCTTTGCTCAAAAAAATTTTTGGATGTTTTATTTGTATTTGTTTTAAGCACTAGAATATTCATGCAAAGTTTCAATCCATTTGGAAAAACCCTCGAAGAAAAAAGTGACAAAATTGATTTTGACAAGGGTCGCCCCTAGTCCAAAATTGAAAATGTATTTCCTTCTTGGTTCTTTGCTCAAAAAAATTTTTGGATGTTTTATTTGTATTTGTTTTAAGCACTAGAATATTCATGCAAAGTTTCAATCCATTTGGAAAAACCCTCGAAGAAAAAAGTGACAAAATTGATTTTGACTAGGGTCGCCCCTAGTCCAAAATTGAAAATGTATTTCCTTCTTGGTTCTTTGCTCAAAAAAATTTTTGGATGTTTTATTTGTATTTGTTTTAAGCACTAGAATATTCATGCAAAGTTTCAATCCATTTGGAAAAACCCTCGAAGAAAAAAGTGACAAAATTGATTTTGACTAGGGTCGCCCCTAGTCCAAAATTGAAAATGTATTTCCTTCTTGGTTCTTTGCTCAAAAAAATTTTTGGATGTTTTATTTGTATTTGTTTTAAGCACTAGAATATTCATGCAAAGTTTCAATCCATTTGGAAAAACCCTCGAAGAAAAAAGTGACAAAATTGATTTTGGCTAGGGTCGCCCCTAGTCCAAAATTGAAAATGTATTTCCTTCTTGGTTATTTACTCAAAAAAATTTTAGGTTGTTTTATTTGTATTTGTTTAAGCACTAGAATATTCATGCAAAGTTTCAATCCATTTGGATAAACCCTCGAAGAAAAAAGTGACAAAATTGATTTTGACTAGGGTCGCCCCTAGTCCAAAATTGAAAATGTATTTCCTTCTTGGTTCTTTGCTCAAAAAAATTTTAAGATGTTTTATTTGTATTTGTTTTAAGCACTAGAATATTCATGCAAAGTTTCACTGTAATTGGATAAACCTTCGAAGAAAAAAGTGAAAAACTAGATTTTGACTAGACCTGTCCCAAGTTCCTAATTGAAAATGTATTTCCTACTTGGTTCTTTGCTCAAAAAAATTTTAAGATGTTTTATTTGTATTTGTTTTAAGCACTAGAATATTCATGCAAAGTTTCAATCCATTTGGATAAACCCTCGAAGAAAAAAGTGACAAAATTGATTTTGACTAGGGTCGCCCCTAGTCCAAAATTGAAAATGTATTTCCTTCTTGGTTCTTTGCTCAAAAAAATTTTAGGATGTTTTATTTGTATTTGTTTTAAGCACTAGAATATTTATGCAAAGTCTCACTGTAATTGGATAAACCTTCGAAGAAAAAAGTGACAAAATTGATTTTGACTAGGGTCGCCCCTAGTCCAAAATTGAAAATGTATTTCCTTCTTGGTTCTTTGCTCAAAAAAATTTTAAGATGTTTTATTTGTATTTGTTTTAAGCACTAGAATATTCATGCAAAGTTTCACTGTAATTGGATAAACCTTCGAAGAAAAAAGTGAAAAACTAGATTTTTACTAGACCTGTCCCAAGTTCCTAATTGAAAATGTATTTCCTACTTGGTTCTTTGCTCAAAAAAATTTTAAGATGTTTTATTTGTATTTGTTTTAAGCACTAGAATATTCATGCAAAGTTTCAATCCATTTGGATAAACCCTCGAAGAAAAAAGTGAGAAAATTGATTTTGACTAGGGTCGCCCCTAGTAGGGTTTGGGGAATCTGTTAACAGAAAACAGAAAAACAGCTGTTTTTCGACAAAAATCTGTTAACAGAAAACAGGTCTCAAAACAGATCTGTTTTCTGTTTTTCATTTTTGCATATAATTTAAATCTCTAAAATTTTCTTAATTTTTACTAGAACTTAATTTATTTTTCTAGAATTCCAAATTGAAATTTATTTATTTTTTTTACATTTTTTGGATGTTTAATAGGTTTGAAATCATTATCAAATTTATGATTAATCATTATTAATTTTGCAATCGAAGTTTTAAAGTTGTTGAACTTTTTGTAGCATTTACTTAAGTTCAAAAATATAATCAACAATTTTACAAGATATTTTCTTATTTAGAAAGATTTTTTTGAATATTTCAAATAAAATATTAGAGTTTATGGAACTTTTGCAATGCAACAATGCAATGTTTCTTAAAAGTATAATTTTTTTTTGAATTTTTATATTCCATTATATTTTATAGAGTTAATTAACGAAAAATTAAGAAATAATAATGCTTAGCTCTATAATGTATGCTTAACTGCTTATTACCACCAATAAGTTTCATTATCTTAGAGAAACACTTAGGATAACTTAGTTTAATTTTGAATTCTAGAAAAACAGGAAAACAGCTTTTAAAAATCAAAAATCGAAAACAGGCTGAAAACTGACAAACCCTATGTGCTATTCGGGCTATGTAAGAGTCTGATCTATATATGAGACTTACCGCGGATCAGGAAATAAAGTGAAAAAAATTGAAAAACTGACTGGTACGGTGTGAATATATCCGCATTGGGTTTCTTCCTGATACACTTGTTATGATAGACCTTCACCGTTACTTACAATTTGATTTCAGCACACGTTCCCTGAATCGTAAAGCGTATAAGTTTATTGAATCATCATTTGAATATTCATATAACTTATTAAACAGAAATCCAGTTGTGATTATACATCCACCAAATCCAATAACTATAGCAAGCCATCCCAATACTAATCCACCAGATCTTAAAGAGAAGCAACAGCATCTGTCTAGCATTGGCTCTTTGGTTGCCATCCTGGTTTATATTAATGGTTCAAATGCCTTTTGTAACTTATGTTGATTAATCAATTTGCAAGTAGATTTTTTAAACCAAAAAATCCAGTAAAATGATTTCTCCGTGGCTTTAAAATTGCAACTGATTCGTTCATTTCTTAGCAAAATTTTTCCACATTTTCATTCTTTGTTTACTGAAAATAAATTCGAAGAAAATTTTTGTTTACTAAAGAACTCGGCACATTTTAATTTACATTTATTTTACGATCTCTAAAAATAGTTCTAAGCAGGTGCGGATTTAGAGATTATTTGGAACAACTTTTAAAACCTGGAGAAATATCTCTGGCTACACTCATGTTTTTACACTTAATGTAAATACCCTTAAAAACCAATTATAGTAAATTCAACGAATTCTTTTATTTACATGAATTGAAACCTATTAAGAATCGATTTGAACACTATCAAAAATGATTATTATTTTACTCTCAAGGTTATCCACACTTATCTCTATTTCAGTCTCGCACACTTCACTTGCTACTTTAAAACACTTTTCTCACGATTATGAAGGCATTGAAAATCAGGATTTAAAGCTATAAATTGCTTTAAATTTAAATTTAAATCGGTAATTCCTTATGAGTATACAGGATATGGATAGTTTGTTGTCGCTCGTAGCTGCTCGTTTTGATTTTTAGTTTTAATATAAAGACTGTAGATCACTAGTATGAAATAAGTATCAAGACACACATAAATAACTAGTGCAATAATGCTGGCAATTGTTACGACATCCATTGCAATGTTAACTGTAAATGCAACCATGTTTATAGCTAGTACAACCATAAATATGATCATTTTTCTATGACTTTCCTGTAAATTAGAAAATAATTGTCTAAGCTTCATGCAAGAATGAATTTAAATAATTCAATGTTACCTGATTGAGTGCTATTATAAGCATGGAACCACCAAATGCACTTATTAATGCTACAGCACAGGCCACTGCCATAACAGTGATCATAACTGAAATTAAAGATTCAATGAGCATTTATGGACTTTTTTTATTTTATAGAATAACTTACATGTTTTACTGACTTGTTCTTCACCAACATAAAATTCCATATCCTCAAATTGTGTCATTAGAGCAATCAATAATAATGATCCAATTACACCACCAACTCCAGAAACGATATGAAGCCATCCGAGGATTTGACCAGCACTTCTTAAATCGAAGCAAAAGCAGCAACCGTTAAAAATTGGCTGTTTCATATTATGATTCGTCTAGTTTGACAATTAATTGTTTACTGAATGGTTCCAATAATTCCATGGAATGTGTATTAATACCATTATTTAACTTTTATCTCTCAATTGCTTCTTATCAAAATTTTGATAACTTCTAAACATGATTTGCTGAAATTGTTCGATTAGATAAAGTCGAATTACGTATTTACATGCGTAAAATCAATGAAGGAATCTCCAGATACATAAAATCGTGTAAAAATAGCTCATCCACTTATGAAGAATGACTTTTCATGATTAATTCAAGTAATAACTGTTGCGAATGGTGATAATGTATGAATCATCGTTAATTTTTGCTGACTTGTTGATTTATATTTAATATTAAGATTCCATTTAAATTATTTAAATCAACAATCAGTCATAGCTGGGCGAGACTTACTTTTAATTGTCCATAATAGTTGAGTATCAGGAGGATACATACATAGGAAAGGTTCACCTTATTTATTGAAATTTTAGTCCTCATTATATATTGAGTAGAACCATTAAAAAGGACAGATTGGATTGTTTCTTAACGGACGATTGATTTCTGTAATTCTGCACAATTGTTTGACCCAGCGTAAATTAATGCAAATTACCAAGTTGCGCTCCGCGATTTACAAAAAAACGAGTTCCCATGACTAGAATAACGAAAATTATTGAGTTCAAGTAAGTTCAATTGAAATAGACGTCATTTTAAATAGGTAATTGAGGTATTCCTGAAAATGACTCATTTTAGCTGTGTTCTTAGAATTTACAGTCTACATACAATACTTATCAAAAAGCTAATAACATTATCTAAAGGTTGTTTCTCGCTATTTCCTTTTAACTATCACATTGCACTGTAGAATAACAACTTACAATATAAAAAGGTGGTATCTGTCAGATATGGAGTAATATTATTTCAGTTTTTGCTTAGTTCACATCGCAAGTTATTAAGTTATTTTAAATTATTGTGCAATGAAGCCAATTTTAAGTCAGTGCTGTTTTTGCAATACATTAGAGACTGGTGGACAGATTATTGGATGGCTATATACCATTGTTGGTATCCTTTCATTTTTTGCTTGTATTGCTTTTGCTGTTGTTTTTGGAATATCAACAGATCCTAATGTTCAAGATACTAAGCCAGGTAGGTTTAACTTTGTTGGTTATATCTCACTAGCTCACACAAATCTGTTTTTAATTATTTTTCAGTTTTCGTCACATTATTCATCGTATTGGCTTTCTTCTCAATTATCAATATAGTTGCTGGAATTTTGTTGGTTCGTGGAGTTAGTAGGGTAAGTGATAATAATTTCTAGTGACAAATGACGTCTTTTGAATCAAAAACTTGAGTGGGTGTCTTTTATACAAAAGATGCACGTTATTTATAAACAACTAAATAGCAGAAAAATTATCAACATGATTTCATTTACAGAAAAGCCACAAATCAATGATTTTGATTCTGGTCCTGATGATCCTTGGAATTATTTCGTCATTTATAAACTTGACTAATTCAGCAACAGCTACCGATATTGTATCAGTAATAATTGGAGTGGGCATCCAAATCTACTTTTTCCTCTGTATTTTGAGCTTATACAATAAAATCAAAAATGAAGGAAATTCAAATCAAGTTACGCAGCAGTATGCATAAAGTAGTTTAAGAATGAAAATAATATTTTGTAATAGCAAATTAAGAATATTTCCGAATATTTAAATAATATAAAGATAAGAAATTAAGTAAATTTTATTATCACAAATGAGCCTCAAAAAAAGCTTATTTAGGTGCTTTGAACTTTTTTTTATTGTGGATTGAATATCTTCTTTAATGATGAGCTTTTAATCAAGGTTATAACAAGTACACTCACGCCCACGTTTCAACTTTAACTTACAAAATATTTTTCCAATTTATTAATTTATTATTACCAATTTCACCAATTCAATGATCTAATCGTCACGTGAGTAATAAAACCAGTCTTCATCAGCGTTTTTATTAGAATGTCAATATTGCGTCTTTTTTTACTTTTTATCAGTCAGTTAATACCTTTTATTGCCTTTTATTGCCCAATGCTATTTTTTAACTGAAATTGCAACTTATATATAAAAGAATTCGTGAAGGAACCAGATTATTAATTAATAACTTCTTGTCATATCCACACTTAAAAATTTTTTATTTGTAAAATGAGACCAGTTTTTAATCAGTGCTGTTGCTGCTTCTCATTGGAAACCGGAGGACAAATAATTGGATGGTTTTATGCAGTTGCTGGTGTTTTGTCAACCATTGGATGCATTGGATTGGCTTATGTTTTTGGAGGAAATGAGGATCCTCAACTTGATGACGCCAGAACAGGTATGGAATTCAACTTTATTATCTAGAGTTAGAGTTAAAAACATTTCGAGGCTGTTTTGACCCTAAACTAGCATCTTTCCGAATTAATACAAGAAGCAGTACCTAATAACAAACAATATTGACTAATCTACTCGCTTTTCAGTTTTAGTCACAATATTTGTCATATTGGCATGCTTCGCTTTTATCAATATTATTGCGGGAATTCTGCTTATCGTTGGAGTTCGTCAAGTAAATATGAAAACAATTCAACTTAAATGAATAGTTATTATTTAGAATTTACTTAATAATTTACAGAGAAAGCACAACAAAATGATCTTTATGTTGCTCCTGATGATCCTTGGAATTATTTCGTCATTTATGAACTTTATTTATTCTGCAACAGCTACAGATATTGTATCAGTAATAATTGGAGTATTTATTCAAATTTACTTCTTCGTTTGTGTATTGAGCTTGTACAATAAAGTTAAGGAGGAAAATAGAATCACCCCAAAAGAACACCAACCTGCTTAAAGGAATGTAATGAATCAAATTATACCTTCTTTTTATTATATCCCATTTGTAACCTTTAATAAAGATGCAATTGTTTTCAATTATTTGTCATGCTTAAAAAATACTTTTTAAAGATTAATATAAATAATTATGCTTGAACCAATTATGTGATGTAGCAACGACACACAATTTCAGAATCAATATTTCATTGTCAAGGTGATTTTCGAAAGTGATTTAAAGTTAAAGTAAACTAGTGTATCGGGTAGAAACCCAATGCGGATTATATTCACACCGTACTATCATAAGTCTTATGGATAGACCAAGATTTGCCCATCATAAGTATGAAGGTATGAATCTTGATAAGTCAACTAAGCTTCGCTCAGCATAAGTTTGAAGTTATAAAGCTATCGCGTAAGCTGAGCTACGCTCAGCATAAGTTTGAAGATATGAAGCTAGAGAGGCAGCTGAGCTTCGCTCAGCATAAGTTTGAAGTTATAAAGCTATCGCGTAAGCTGAGCTACGCTCAGCATAAGTTTGAAGATATAAAGCTAGAGTGTCAGCTGAGCTATGCTCAGCATGAGTTTGAAGATATGAAGCTAGAGAGGCAGCTGAGCTACGCTCAGCATAAGTTTGAAGGTATAAAGCTTGACGAATATGCCAAATATTCTTTAAAAGTTATTTAAAAAAAATTTTCATCCAAAGTTGAATTTTATAAAAATCACAGTCAACTTTTGTTTTAAAAAATTCGTAAGAAAGGAAAGTTTTTTGCCATTTCTGAAGCAACGGCTGTTCCTACCTTGCCCAAAAACAATACAGCTCTTCTATAGAGCAGCACGGATCAAATGTAAAAAACTAGAAGTCTCTACGATGTCTCGTTATTGAGATTTCTTGCTGATTAACTTGCTTGCTTGCTTGCTTGCTTGCTTGTTTGCTTACAGAAAGCGTATTTTGCGATTTTCTCAGCAATGCCACAACCAATTTGAAATCTGTTTTTTGAAAATGATGTAAAATTTCAGGCACAAACTTTTCTTCTTGCCCTTTTATAACCAATTTTGCTTTGTTTTCTCACAAAATGCGAAAAACTGATTTTTCAATCTGAACAAAACCAATAGATTCACACGTGAAAACGGTGTGAATATAAAAATTCAAAAAAATCAAATCACATTTCATGGCAAAATCTTTTAAGTTTCAAAGAAAATAATTATTTCACGAAAATTTGTGGTAGGGTAAACCATGTTGAAATTTGTGTGTTTTTGCACATGAAGATTTGATTTGCAAATAAGTTGCTAATGACTGATCATGTAAATTTGGTAATGGGCTCAAAAGATCAATAATTGTGGGAATTTTCAGTTAATAATGTTTTTTCAAGGTTATGCTGCATATGGGAAGAGATTTTTGACTTTTTCGATCAAATGTTGAAATTTGTGCGGAAAATTTTAAAATTTGTGCGAAAAAATGTTGAAATTTGTGCGTTTTTTTAATAGCAATCTTTGACATAATTGCAATTCTTAAATGTAAACAAACATATTATTTACATATTTTTGGAACAGAAATTGATATTTTGCTGAAGGAACTGCTTTGAATAAACTTTAAATGAAATTAAGAATATAAAGCTGAATTGTTTCAAACCTTTTCCTCAAGAAATAATGCAAGATTCAAGATTTAACTCAATTTGAGCTGGCTGAGTTTACAACCGTCAAAACAGGATATACTTTTTGAATATATGGATCTGTATGGATATCCTTGAAGTCTTTTGCATTTTTGTTTTATGTTTTTTTTAAATTTTAAATGACCCACGTTTTTAATTTTTATCAGCTGTTATCAGTTTTTGACTTTCAGTAGTTCCATTTATGCTATTCTTCATGAAATCCTGTAAAAACATGAATTTCATACGTAAATAATATTTGTTGTTGACAAAAATTCCCATCGCTTTCTACGACAAAAAACGCACAAATTTCAAAATTTGTAAAAAAAATTCGCACAAATTTTAACATTTACAATCAAGAAATTTTAAAATCAATTTTTAAAGCACTTCCAATGATTTTTATAACAATGAATTTTTTTGAAACATTATAGCAATTATCAAATTTTATATTTAAACTGTGATTTGATTATAAGCAGCACTGGTTATGTCCAAATATTTTAAAATATGAAAATCACAATTTTGTATGGGATTTTGAATTTTTAAAATTTAAAGCTGCTCCAAGCTTCGAGTCCAAAATGATGTAGAAATGTTTGTACAACTGTTTTACACAGAACTGCAAACAAAATTTTGGTTTAAATGGCTTATTTGGGCTAATTTCTTTTTTATTTGAGCGCACAAATTTCAACATGGTTTACCCTATCAGGTCATTTTAAATGAGGCAATCATTTCTACATGTTTTTGCAACTCTGACGATTAAAAGCGTGTAGTTTGTTGATTTTTTTTTATTTTCAATGATTTTTAATTAAAACCTGTACATTTTTCTTGATAAGTAAAGCCTGCGATAAAACATACAATTGCAAAGTCTGCATTTCTTATATTCCCCTTAAAAAGCATTAACACCAAACAAACTATATCACTGCTACTTTATCTGATTTTTACACGATTTTATTTTATCATATTTTATTGATAAAAAAAGCTCACATAAAATATATAACTGAGAACCTGATTTCCATGTTTTGTATCAGACATTTTTAGATTTTGAAGAAGTAAGGAATACTTAATTATAATAATGGTCCTTCCAACATTTCAAAAATTTTGCTGTTGCTGCTCTCTTGAGACTGGTGGAATTATTGTTGGTAAATTTATTTCTTTATTTATTTTACAAAGCATTTTAATTTTTATTTTGGTGATATTTCAGGAGTTGTTAATTGCATCTTCGGCCTTTTAGGAGTCCTAAGTGGAATTACTATGATATTTTTAGGCTCCGCTCTGATGATGTATCAATTTACGAATGCTAGTCTTTTTTGGTGGGGAGTAGGTATGAAAATAAATTGGTTGAAAAGTGCTTTTTTTTCTATCAGAATCAAAGTCACAAAGATTTTTGCACATGCAGTCTTGTGACTGTAAATTGTCTGTGTTTACGATTCTGCCAATGAACAAGTTAATTTTGAAGCCTAATTTGCAAATTCAAATTTTTAAGGATACATTATTGTTGGCACCATATTCATTCTGTTCTACTTGATTTACTTTATTGCCGGAGTTTTATTGATATCTGCCGTAAACAAAGTAAGGAAATTTTACTATTTAAAACCATATTATGAATAATCCTTAATACTAATTTCTTCCATTTCCACAGCGAGAACATGAAAGAATGAAGCTCATACTTATTCTTATGGTAATCGGAGTTATTGTGTCATTCATTTCTATAGTTACTTCTGTATTGGGAGGATTACTTGGAGCCATTATATATTCACTTTTCACATGCTACTTCTTCATTTGCATTTATTCTCTTTATGTCAAACTTAAAGATGAAGGTCGTGCTGGTCAAGTTCATATCCAACCGTCGCCTTATGCATAAAATGTCGTTTAAAGGACTCAGCCAATGTTATGTTTTTGAAATGACATTTCAATAGTTTAGAAACTTTGAAGAAATAAATAAAAATTAACAAAGTTTAAATCAAAACCTTTTTCAAGTAAAATGTTTCAGCTACCGTCGGAGGTTCACAAATTCAGCAAGAATAAACTTATAACAGATTTTGACAATATCCAAAACCATTTTTACGACTAGGAAGACAAAATGCAAAATTAATAGTCGGGTTTAATTAAAGTATGACCAAACTGTCCATATCAAAACAATTGATACGCAAAATATACATGTCATCCTCATTAAATGCTGGACGTCATGAATGAATTACTCACTAAATAATTTTGTTTGGTGGTGTTTTTACGCAAGTAAATTTTATCAGCATCGATAAGAAACGTCCAAATCCAAAAAATTGCACGTTTTGTTGTTATCTAAACAATCGTCACACTTATAGCTTAACTTATGACTCAGACGAATATTTGTGTACACATGAGTTAATTATTATTGTGACTTCATAAAATTAAGACAAATATTTTGTAGCATTCTATAAAATTTTGTTTGATAATATTTGAAATGACACAAAAAAATGGGGCGTATCTATAGCAATCAAAAGGAAGATTAATGTAATACATAAGAATCTACCATGGCTTATAAAGGTGTATGTTCCACAGGTTTTGGCATTGGTCACAGTGACATTAAAATCTTTTCAGTTTCCTTTTTATGATCTTAAGTTTTAAGGTACCTATGTTGTATATATCAAAGTTCTGAGAATATAAAAAATTGTGTTGCTAAAGATAATGCAACATATACAATTTTGAATTTTCTCTACTTAATTTCTGGGATTTTGCTGATTTTTGTCGTAAATAAAGTAAGTTTCAAATTAATTCTATCATGTCTAATTCATAATCTTTTTATTCTTTACAGCACTTTACAGTGTAACCATGAAAGAACTTATGAGACTTACTTTATTTCTATAAAACTTCTTTAAACTATGCTTCTATACTTAAAAAAAATAAACTTAAAATCACATTAGCTTTTAGGAAAAATACTATAAAAACATATCACTGCTACTTTATCTGATTAAATACGTGATTAATTGATAAAAAAAAATATTTATGATAAAGATAACTCAAATTTATTTTTTTTCAGTTTTTTATGTCTATCATTATTCGATTTTCAAGAAGTAAAGACTTTAAAACAAAATAAAATGGGACTTCCAACACTTAATAAGTTTTGTTTTTGCTGTTCTTTGGAAACCGGTGGCATCATCGTTGGTAAATTTTTTAAAGTATAATTTTGAAAACAGATTTATTTAATTTTGTTTGAAATTTTTAAGGATGGATTAATGCTTTTTTTGGATTTATTGGCATTTTGAGTGGTATTACATTGGTTTTCCTTGGATCTACAGCCATTATGTTTCCAGCAAATATTGATGTATTTTGGAGTGGAGTATGTAAGTAGTCAACTGCATACTTAATTTGTTCCTATTTACCTAATGTTGATGTCTCTCTCTTTAGCATTTCTCATCGTAGGATCCATATTTATTTTATTCTACCTTATCTACTTTATTGCCGGAATATCATTGATATCAGCTGTTAAAAATGTAAGATTTCATGATTCACAAACAAATCAGTTGACCAAAAATTATATTTTACAGCGTGACCACTACCGAATGAAACTCATAATGATTCTAATGGGAATAGGAGTGATTGTATCATTCATATCCGTAATTACCTCATTGTATGGAGGATTAGGCGGAGCTATATTTTATTCAATCATTACATGTTACTTCTTTTTGTGCATTTATTCACTTTATGTTAAACTTAAAGATGAAGGTCGTAGTGGTACAGTTGAGTTTCAACCAGTTCCATATTCATAAAAAAGAAACTATATAGACTCTACTCACATGTTGTGAATAAAATGAATATGTGTGTGACTTCATCATATTTAAGCTTAATAATGATAACAAAATTTTTATCGTAAAGGTTTGTATAACAAATTTATTGATTAAAAATTTCTTAATCCAATAAAGGCTGATTAAGCTAATTAACTCGAAAATGATCAATTTTAATAATATGAAATAATATGAATGTTAATTATCGGCTCACACTTACGTGATGAAGTTTCCGAGGGTTAAAACATTTTTGTTCTGCTTGTCTCTCAAAACTGGAGGTAAATTTTAAATGATTTGGTAAAATCAATAGCTTATAAATCCATCTAATTTTCTTTAGGATACATCATTGGATGGGGTTCATTTTTCGTCTCTTTAGTGACAACAATTTACTTGATTTTCACTATGATATCAATCTCAATGAATCCTGTTGTGTATTTAAACCTAACCGGAGTTATAGGTAAATTTATATTTTGTGGATCCATTGTGCAGGACATCATTTAGATCGACTCAAGGAAACAAAAATTTCAAATACCAAAGTTGACCTCAAGCTATGGGTTTCACAAAGTTTCAACAGACACAGTCTCTCCTTTTTTTCTGATATGAACTGATTCTTTTTAATATTTATAGAATAATTTTATGTTTCAGCCTGGATGATTATTCTGAATTTTTACACCATCTACTTAGTTTTGCTTGTGTTTAGTGCCTGCATCATGATGCGCGGGATTCTGAAGGTTAATATCCGGTAAAAGTGCAATGATTCAAATCGAATTATTGCAAACTATAAATTTTAGCTTCCGCGTGGAACACGGAAGGTGTTCCTTTATGTCGTTCAAATTTTGTCACCTAACCTACAGGTCAACCGTATTATTCAAAAGTAATGATTTATATGTCAAAATTTAGCCCTTGTCGTCTAGTAGGGCGAAAATTATAGCGCTTTGCATGAACTTTTTTTTTTGAGACCGTAGTGCTTCATGGAAGATTTTCGCAAAATCTCCATGCAAACACTACATTTGCTTTTACTTTTTTTTAAAGCCTTAAATCAAAAAATTGCTGGGAGTTAAATGTTTAACATCTTCTCAGGAATCGATTGATACCAAAATCATAATTTTTGGTGCTAGTCCTGATCCATTAGAGTGATCTGGTGCACTTGTTTTAGAGAACTACTAGACGAAACATTTTTTGTAATGTAGGGCCTTAAAAGACCTATCCAATGATACTAAACATGCCCCACTTCCATCAACACCTACATAGATATAACGATCTTAAATTTTAATCCGATGGATTTATTTTAATCCTCCCTTTATTCATTACGAAATCGAAAATGGTTTAAAATTTGTAACCCAACCTACAGCTCGCAACTCAAAATCAATCATATTGATATGTATATCAATAGAAAGCTACAAAGGTCTAGTAGGGCGGAATTTTAGGCGCTTTAAGTGAATCGTCTTAGTTCTCGAGATATAGTGAAAATAGTGTTTAATGTGGTGGATTATAAATAAATCTAATGGATTAAAAATTAAATCAGTAATATCTTTTAATTTTCAAATGGGGCCCGTCAAAAATAATAGGAATTTCAGTTTAACGGTTTAATAAAATTCAAAAATTTCACATATTTTCGAGCAAAATTACCAAAACTTTAATCAGCTGAAAATCTAATTAATACTCGTGAATTTGTAACTTTGGCTCTTTTAAAACACAAAATAGAACCTTAGAAACATACTATCGACATTTAAATATGAGCTGTATTACGTTTTAATTATGTTTTCAGCAATTTTCGAAAAAATAAAATTTTTTTGTTGACCAAAAACATACAAGAAAATTCAAAAAAATGATATTCGTTACAAGATTTTGAAACTTACCCTAATAGGCAAAGAGCATGCTCACAAATTTGAGCACATGCAAGAGCATACTCAATTATAGAAATGTATGTGCTCAAATGAACATACTCTCATGAGTACATAATGAGTACATAAACGTAGTATACTCAGTTGAGTACATTCATTGAGTACGCTCTCTTACATACTCTAAGTACAACAACATGATACAAAAAATTTTCTTTATGTGCTCTCTTGAGTATACTTATTGAGTATGTCCTCTCTCACATTGTGAGTATGACAAACGTGAGTGTAATTTCAAAGACAGTATACTCTCGTCAGTATACTCTTCAAGTGTACTCAAGAGCATATTCAGAGCATATCTTTCTGATAATTCACATTTAAATACATTATGCTCATCTGAGTACACTTTCTGAGTGCACTCTCAAATGTACTCTGAGCACGTCATTGTAATAAGTTTATGTAAGAAACATTATGCTCATCTGAGTACACTTTCTGAGTGCACTCTCAAATGTACTCTGAGCACGTCTTTGTAATAAGTTTATGTAAGAAACATTGTGCTCATCTGAGTACACTTTCTGAGTGCACTCTCAAATGTACTCTGAGCACGTCTTTGTAATAAGTTTATGTAAGAAACATTGTGCTCATCTGAGTCCACTTTCTGAGTGCACTCTCAAATGTACTCTGAGCACGTCTTTGTAATAAGTTTATGTAAGAAACATTGTGCTCATCTGAGTACACTTTCTGAGTGCACTCTCAAATGTACTCTGAGCACGTCTTTGTAATAAGTTTGTGTAAGAAACATTGTGCTCATCTGAGTACACTTTCTGAGTGCACTCTCAAATGTACTCTGAGCACTTCTTTGTAATAAGTTTATGTAAGAAACATTGTGCTCATCTGAGTACATTTTCTGAGTGCACTCTCAAATGTACTCTGAGCACGTCTTTGTAATAAGTTTATGTAAGAAACATTGTGCTCATCTGAGTCCACTTTCTGAGTGCACTCTCAAATGTACTCTGAGCACGTCTTTGTAATAAGTTTATGTAAGAAACATTATGCTCATCTGAGTACACTTTCTGAGTGCACTCTCAAATGTACTCTGAGCACGTCTTTGTAATAAGTTTATGTAAGAAACATTATGCTCATCTGAGTACACTTTCTGAGTGCACTCTCAAATGTACTCTGAGCACGTCTTTGTAATAAGTTTATGTAAGAAACATTATGCTCATCTGAGTACACTTTCTGAGTGCACTCTCAAATATACTCTAAGCACGTCTTTTTTACATGTCACATTCAATTGGATTATACTTAAATTCTCACTCTTAACAAATATTTACTTACAAGAATCTCTAGGTTTAATTTAAAAAAGAAGTTTATAAATATCAGTTTGAAATCGTTTGTATGCTTCAGCACTGTATTTTTGTATTGGAAAAAAAATTGTCGAAAAATGAAATTTTTGCAATACTTCCTTCCGATGCAGTTTATGACCAAAACTTTGATTGAAACTGATGAGAATCATGATTTAAGACCTTTTGACATCTAAAAATTTTTACTTGGATGCTTCAGTTCCTTTAATTTTGACTTTTTCAATTTCGTTTGTGGAGTACTTGGAAATTTCATCACAGTAAACATTTTTGGGTTTTCACGTTTGAATTTATTGGTTTTGTTCAGATTAAAAAATCAGTTTTTTGAATTTTGTGAGGATATGGAACAAGGTAGCTTAAAATGGTCAGAGATGAAAAGTTTTATGCCTGGAATTTCACATCTTTTGCAAAACACAGATTTCAAATTGATTGCGACATTGCTGAGAAAATCGCAAAATACGCTTTCTGTAAGCAAACAAGCCAGCAAGTTAATCAGCAAGAAACGAGACATCGTAGAGACTTCTAGTTTTTTACATTTGATTCGTGCTGCTCTATAGAAGAGCTGCATTGTTTTTAGGCAAGGTAGAAACAGCCGTTGCTTCAGAAAAAGCAAAAAACTTTCCTTTCTTACGAATTTTTCAAAACAAAAGTTCACTGTGATTTTTATAAAATTAAACTTTTGATGAAAAAAAAAATTTTAAAAATCTTTCAAAGAATGTTCGTTAAGCTTTAAACCTTCAAACATATGCTGAGCGAAGCTCAGCTGACGCGCTAACTTCATACCTTCAAATTTATGCAGAGCGAAGCTCAGCTGATTCGCTAGCTTTATGCCTTCAAACTTATGGATAACTTGGGTTTCTACCCGATACACTAGTTCTTAGCAATTTTTGCTTTATTTTTGCTCCTTAGAATCCAAAATGGCATTGGTTTCACATTAAGAAACAGTCAATTAACCTCTATGCCAAATTACAACTTATAATCTCAAAAAAGTTCAAAGTTATAGCTAAAATAAATTATACATAGGTTTCCAACCCTTAGAATCCAAAATGGCGTCGGTTATATATTCAGGTTATATACCACTTAACCTACATGCCAAATTTCAGATTAAAAGTTTAAAAGATACAAAAGTTATGGCAAAAAAATAATTTGGTATGAAAAATTTATGGAAAAAAGTGAATAACTCCGTGAAAAGCTCGGAAAACGCGTGGAAAAATATGAAAATGGAAAAATTTATCATAAAACATCATGATCTATCAAAAAAGTGTAAAAAGAATGAAAAAAAAGTTACTCACGGTGAGGCCTGAACCCGTGACCAATGAGTTGTGAGAAAATTCACCTTTTTAAGGGCTACGTAAAAATACGTATGTAAAACGTAAGGTAAAATTTCAGAAAAAGTTAATTGAATTAACCTTCCTTTCAGACGGACGGACAAAACGCAAGCAATAGCGTCATTTAAATTTTAAAATTTAAAATCAAAGTTAAATGTGTTATTTACCAAAAATTTTACTTAAGATAACACAACTCGGTGGAGTAGAGGTAGCAACGCAGAATTTATCTAAGAACACAGCGGTCAGAAGTTCGAATCCCGGTAAGATTTACAAAATTTTCATTAATCATTTCTTCTTTCTTTCTTTCTTTCATAGCTTTGAAAATTAAACAGCAAAATAAAAAAGGACGCATTAATTATGTAAAATAATAATAAAAAAAAAGTTTCAAAAAATAATAATTTTTATTTATTACGTCCTTTAAAGTACACTCAAAGTATACTCTTTTGAGTACATCAATAGTCAGATTAAGATGTACTTTTATGAGTATATTAAAAGTATGTCAAACTAAGTATGCTCATTTGAGCATATGTTTTATGTGCTTAATTGAGCATAAAGTGTGTCACA